AAGTAAAAAATAACTATAAAGCGTGATGACCTATTAAAACCATGGTACCTGTATATACATATATTGGAGGTTTAAAATATATCACACTTTGTCTTAAAGACAAAATCACCATCACAGTTCATTTATAGTTAAAACAGTATTAAATTGGCTACTTTTATTGAATAAAAAAAATCTTTGTACGTTTAAAATCCTTATGTATCACTTAAGCTTAATCCGTAAAATCACAAAATCACAAACGAATACATTCTCATCACGAACATATTTCTTAACAGAACCTTTTCTCAGATGCCGATACATTTAATTTTTAATGCAAACTAACAGTGATGTCTAGGCATTTAGCCAATCGAAATCCAAATGTAAACCTAAATCGATAAAATGAGTAATAAATCAAATGACAGCTGTGCCTCGTACTGGTGATAAGGATTACAAGTATAACACGTATTCGTGTTGTTACAACAACACGAATACGCGTGTAAAAATATTTATAGGTTATAACCTATACATATATTTACACAAATTTAATCATTTCGATGACGTAATATATTGTAGCATGATATTTACAACTCATAAACACAGTGTTTGATTTTATGATTAGGTCGAAAATGAAGATGGACTGGCTGATTCCGTACAACCTATTTTACGATGATATAAAATAGATGTAGTATGTTAATTATGAGGTATCAACCGGTATGAATTTGGTCATTGACTATCTCGATGAACACTGCGTTAATTGAAACGCAATCGTTTGTTCAGACTCTCCATCAGACCTTAAAAGTCTGCAGTTACGAGATCCGAAAAACACTCTTATACCAAATCTCTTATTCCTCATATCTTGTATCTCAAAAAGAAACGAAAAATAATTCTTCTATTCATTCCGAGTCACATCGGCATAAAAGTAATGAAAATGCTGACAGAGCAGCTGAAATGCATAACACTCCCACCAAACCAATATCAAACTGCGATATTAAGATTTTAAACCCATTATACGATTAGCCAAAGCGATTCAGCAACGATGGTCTCTCGAGACCGACATATTTTTTTTAAAGTGAAATCAAAATAAAACCGTGTCTGCCAAGTCGGAGAGACCGTAGAGAGAATGTTGTCCTTTCTCGGCTCCGTACTGGTAATACTTATCTCACTCATTTTTAATAGGGGATGTCCACTTACATGTCACGCATACGTGCCCCCATTGACAGTTGATAACATTTTAACAGAATGGTCAGATTTGAGATTACATTTGTGATAAATACTTCCATGTCACGAACATGAAAACCGTTTTCATTTCCGTAGACTTGGATGCATTATTCAACTTAATCAAAGACATTGATCTGTTTGATAAACTGTTGTAACTTTTTATGCACATTCTGTTGCTGATATTATTAAATATACGAGGTTTTTGTTCATTTAGAATCCTCAAATGGTCGCCTCATATCAAAGACTGCTTTGGCCCTAAATGACAATAGTTTAACTCAAACAAACTCGGTATTCATTAGTTTGTGTTAACTACAGCATTCCTTATGAAACACCCAAGGTCCATTATAATATTTTCGAGATTATTTATTGAACCAAAATATCACCCTTGTCAACAGTACCCTACTTCCAAATGTCCAAGGGGGGTTTCCAAATGGGGAAATATTTATAATAATATACAACAACATTTGATATAGCGCCCTATCAAGCTAACATAAGCCACTCTAAAGCCCTTTACAGTACATAGATATACAATTAATACAATTAGCATATACATTAATTAATTCAATTTTGAGGAATTCGCAGGAGCTGCCTTATCAGGCGCTAACTACTAGTCCCATGCCACCTGGCTAATATCTCACTATGTGTGTATGCCTGCGTGTGTGCCGGAGATGTATTGTGTTCTGTTTTGTAGTGGGACCGTGCTTCCAACGGCATCTTTTTTATAGTGCCACCTCACTTGAATGACACAGCACAGATACCGCAACATCCACCCCAGACCATTTTATACTCCACTGGGTTGTTGGAGTTGTGTGGGCAGGAGAAAAACACTTTCTCTGATATTCCATGCGTACGACGACTTCAAGAATCGAGCCCCGGCCGTCTGCGTGGAAGGCTGAAGTGTTAACCTCTCGACCAATCTGCCCGAAATATTAAGGAAAGTGGTGAAAATACATGAATTTTAAAGAAAATTCTCAGGGTGGGGAGTTTCCTGAAGCTCAAAAAAAACCTCTGGATCTGCCACTGTATAATCCTACATTCACTGTGCCTGCCACAAGATACCAATAAATAAATTTTCGATACTCGCTTGTTCTCAACTGGTCATGCACTACCTGTTTCCTTAGACAGTTGGGTAACCAGAGGTTCCTAAACATGTGGTGGCTGGTTATCATGTTTATCTAACTCGAGTTAATTTTCATGGTGTATAAAGACCAGCGAGAGTAATCAACCATTACGAGTTTGGGGACCTTTTTTCTCCCACAATGTTGACATGTTATATCTAGAAAATCTTCGAAATCCAGAAAACCGTTTTATGCCAACGCAACACTATTCACCAGAAATATAGAGTGAACAAAGAACCGCAGACAATCCTCCGACGAAGAACTGCCTATTTCTTTCTTGGTGCAGGACTACATGGAAAACGGGACTAGATCCCGTTATCAAAGAACACGTCTGAACCACATTCGTTGTTCACAGAATACTTAATGGCCTTGAAACCCAATACTGCAAAATATCAGACGAGAGAAAATTAGAAACAAGATGTTGAAACAAATGCAACATCTATTCGACAGTACAGCTAAGCTACCTCTGCAGGAACCTCTCTTAATAAAATACTACAGATGTAGGCCTGACTAACAATATACCCTAACTGATGTTCAGCATCCTCCTCCGACTAGATTCTATCGAATACATGTGTGAGGAAGCACATCAATAACTAGCAGTTAAGGATGTACACCTCTGAGAAGTCAAAATATTCCTGTATTAAATTTTTTTTCTTATATGGATTTTTTGAAAAAGGAGATAATGGCAAAGTAGAAAATGCATAAAAAGATATATGTCCGTGTGCTCGTTTTTGTGCTATGATCGGTCAAAGATACCAATTTAACACAAAATGTGATTTTAGGTGANAAGAATCGAGCCCCGGCCGTCTGCGTGGAAGGCTGAAGTGTTAACCTCTCGACCAATCTGCCCGAAATATTAAGGAAAGTGGTGAAAATACATGAATTTTAAAGAAAATTCTCAGGGTGGGGAGTTTCCTGAAGCTCAAAAAAAACCTCTGGATCTGCCACTGTATAATCCTACATTCACTGTGCCTGCCACAAGATACCAATAAATAAATTTTCGATACTCGCTTGTTCTCAACTGGTCATGCACTACCTGTTTCCTTAGACAGTTGGGTAACCAGAGGTTCCTAAACATGTGGTGGCTGGTTATCATGTTTATCTAACTCGAGTTAATTTTCATGGTGTATAAAGACCAGCGAGAGTAATCAACCATTACGAGTTTGGGGACCTTTTTTCTCCCACAATGTTGACATGTTATATCTAGAAAATCTTCGAAATCCAGAAAACCGTTTTATGCCAACGCAACACTATTCACCAGAAATATAGAGTGAACAAAGAACCGCAGACAATCCTCCGACGAAGAACTGCCTATTTCTTTCTTGGTGCAGGACTACATGGAAAACGGGACTAGATCCCGTTATCAAAGAACACGTCTGAACCACATTCGTTGTTCACAGAATACTTAATGGCCTTGAAACCCAATACTGCAAAATATCAGACGAGAGAAAATTAGAAACAAGATGTTGAAACAAATGCAACATCTATTCGACAGTACAGCTAAGCTACCTCTGCAGGAACCTCTCTTAATAAAATACTACAGATGTAGGCCTGACTAACAATATACCCTAACTGATGTTCAGCATCCTCCTCCGACTAGATTCTATCGAATACATGTGTGAGGAAGCACATCAATAACTAGCAGTTAAGGATGTACACCTCTGAGAAGTCAAAATATTCCTGTATTAAATTTTTTTTCTTATATGGATTTTTTGAAAAAGGAGATAATGGCAAAGTAGAAAATGCATAAAAAGATATATGTCCGTGTGCTCGTTTTTGTGCTATGATCGGTCAAAGATACCAATTTAACACAAAATGTGATTTTAGGTGAATTTTCGGGTTTTGACCATTTGCAGAACAAATTCATACAATTTCTTCCAAGTGTGATATCAGATATGTATGAATGTTTGTAGAATTGATAAAAATATTATTTTCTTTGACACTATGGAAGTAAAATTGCTTAATCTTGTTCTTTTTACTCAGAAATGCGATTTTAGTTACCCCTACCCCTTATTTTTTAATGAAAAAATGCACATTTTTCACCATTTTTTGCAGACTAAACACTTGATATAAAAAAAATCCTGTATTAAACTTTTTTTAGTATTCAATGAATCAAAAGAAAATGTGTTTCTCTTTCTAAAACAGCCACAAAAATGGGGGGTAAAAAATATAAAATAATTGCTATTATACCTATCATAGTTTGTTAAATATTACAAAAACCTGTTACACCAGATCAAAACGAGACTTGAACGTGACTGAAACCTCTGAAGAGTACATCCTTAAGCTTCCAATGGACAGAAGTATGTTCTGCCTTGCCTGAAAAATCTTTCAGTATAACTTGCAAATGTATTTTAAAGCCTATGTGGTATAATATGCTTATTAAAAGCACTGGTGTAAAACAAAAATGTTTTCATTTCTGATTTATTAACAAAATAATCAATTCATGTCTGATGACAAAAAACAGATGCAAGCTACCACTATACCATATAAGTCTACAGGCACTTTGTGCCAGGTTAACTGCAAAAAAAATGGAAATTTTCAATATTTCTAAACATAGGGTGTTTTGAACATGAGTTGTAATGAATCATTACGTTAATCTTGCTTTTAACAGCTTTCCCCTATTATTTATTTTACTGTATCTGTGTTATCATGAATTAATCAACAACAAAATTTGTTAATAATTTATTCATTTATTTATTATTTATCACATTTCAAAAGTGGATCAGTTATTTTCACACAAGTTATGTTCCTGTATCACTGCTTTCTTTGCTGTCCAACTGTGAACTCTGACCCTGTAAATTACAGCAATGACCTGCCTGACCCTGTAACCTACAGCAAGTGTGTTCACTGTCAGGCACATTGTCACTTAGTCCAGAACACCCACAAGCAGCAGGAGTTAGCTGTCCTTGTTTCATAAGAGAATCACTCAAACCACTGGAAGCTGGTTTCGTAATTTTGTTAACCGTTTGTTTAGTGGATCGTGGTTTCTGTCTGATAGGACGATGCAGTTCATTGTTAACTGTCCACGGTCCCAGGCTGTCATTTGCGTAGAAGTCCATGGGGTATGTTGGCTGCCACTTTATGGAATCCATAGCAACAGACAACTAGGTGACCAAATATGAAAAAAAAAGAAATATTGTTAAAGCTCAAAAAAAATCAATTGACTTAAATAAATCTTCATTTTTTAAATAATTGTTGGTGATTAATTTAAAGCAAATATTATTTTCAGTGAAAAATAATACTACATTTAAGATAGGTCAAATAATACTTTGTTGAAGAACCTCACATTAATTGGAAAACTTTATTTGCAAGACAAAAAAAAACTTTTAACAAAACAAATTAAAAGATTTAAAATATCAGTAAATGTCATGGCAATAAAGAAAGACTTCTGCCTCAAATACCCAGCTATAATATGATGTCATCTCATGACAAATGTGATATAATTCAAGTGTTTTCAATATTGCAATTCTCCATCCTGAAGTAATTGTTTTGAAAAACAATTTTGTGACCATTCCCACTACTTTGGCATCATGATCATCCAAGTAAAAAATTAGATGTCATTCCATTGTTTTCACTGTGAGGTCAGTAACATGCATTTCTCCTCTTAACCCCAGATGTTGAATGAGAAATCAATCAAGACTGAAATGGACAATAAATTTGTGAAGGATAGGGGGAAGAAATAGGCTGACATATTGCTAGAGTAAGTAGATTTTTTTTAGACTGAAAACAATGCTTCAGAACCTTACCTCATATGGTGTCAATAAAGGTTTCTTGAAGGCTAATCCCCAGTCAATGGATAACCTAGGACAGGCCACCTGTACCCATCTACAATAAACCAAACATCTTATAAACTCATTCACCCCTACATATCTAAACTGGACTTGCCCAGTCTATGATTTGGTAAAGTTCAAATGTGCTTTTAGGGTGAATGGGTTAATACAACTCTTTTCATATAGATATACATGTATGATGGAGCTCCATAAGTGTTCACTGACACTTGGTCATTTCTTTATTAACCAATCAAATATATACTGCCACATTTTTTGCAGTCACAACTTTTTCGCAAAAATGCTTTGTTGGAAAGAACCTAAGTGAAAAGAAAAGATGCAAAGAGTCTCCAATATCATCATTTACACCACAACACTGTTTTAGACAATTTGACACAAATTCATGCCACTTTGAGGTTCACACTTGGCACTGACAGTTCTCCATTACGAAGTACATGAGAGATCTGGTTTCATTAGATTGAGAATGTCTCATCATACATAATGGTAACATATTAGGAATAAGATTCATCAGTTTGGGATAAAAAATAAAAGCTAAGTTTGTTGTGAACACAAACAGGAATTGAAAACTTATTTTGCGAGCTTTCGAAAACGTTTCCTTTGTCAAGCAAAGAGTGTAAGTAACTCTCGACTCTAAACCACTGAAAAAAACCTCACTAAGCCACATTTAACATCAAATAAGGGGCGGAATGATTGGGTAAACATGTTACCCGTCCCCCTGACTGCCTGCAGTATTAGAGTGCAATATGGCGAAATGTCTCTATAATTTTTGACAGCTGACTTTACTGATTTGGCCCACTATGGCTTAGTGAGTTGTTTTCAGCAATTAAGAGTCGAGACACCAATCATTTACACTCTTTGCTTGACAAAGGGAACAGACGTTTTCGAAATGCTCCCAAATTTAATTTTCAATCCCTGTTTGTGTTCAAAACAAACTCAGCCTGTAAAGGTGACACCCATCATAGTCTTGATATCACACAAGGACAGTAGCAGTCTACAGGGGCACTTCTCTACCAACCTAATCCAAATTTTATTCTTACGTGTACTAATGATGGGCTGATGATTGATTTTAATTGAAAATCAATTGGTTTTTCCTTTCCGATTTCGATTATCAATTACAATTTCCATAATCGATATAATCGGTTCATCATTGAAATCAAAGTATTTAATGTCTTTAATATAAAGTATGCATTTAAAGTCATATATTCTAAAAAAAAATTTACTATATATACATGATTTATAAAACTGCTTAAAAATATACCAAAAACATACATAAGCATTTCTTCAAGCAAATGATTTATAGTCAATGAAGAGGCATTTGTAAAATGTTACTTCATTACTTGGTTATTATAAAAAAAAACATATGCTTTAAAAAAAAGGATTTCTATGATCGAAATTTTGAAATATTACAATTAATTAATATTGTATCTCCTTTTCACGCAAGAACAGATACAAGATTCAGAAACTCACGCATCCACTCCTTGAAAGAGCTGTAACTTCTGCGGGAATATTTCTGACAACAACACCAAAATGGTTTCTTTCCCGTTTTCCTTTAGCTTCTGCTGAATAGACTGTAAACCAAACATTGATATGTAAATTATAAACTTAACAATAACTAACTCATTTTTTATTAAATATTAACTATGAAATAACATAAAACTTGTATTTAATAATGAAGTTGACATTACAAATGTACTGCTGAAATACCTTTTCTTTAAAACGTAATTCTTTATTGGTAATAAAATAATCCAGTTCATAGATACAACATGTACATTAAACTTAATTACAATAATTATCTGCGGGCCATTCCGTTAATACAACATTTATTTATCTACATGTACTAAATGATTTGCTTCTAATATGTTTGTGTGCGAGACAAATGTTCCTAAATTCCAAAATTCCTTCCTACTTTTAGAATATAACTTCTTTTAAGACAGAAGAATTTATTTGATAATACAGCTTTATATATTTGTTTCTCAGATTGTTATACAGGGGGCATTTTAAAATGAAATGATACTTGTCCTTTATTTAGACATTATTAAGACACACAGGGCCAGTTTGCAGCTGACGTGGAACAATTCTGTATCTGCCCAATTCAGTAAGAAGACAATGTGAAGATAGACATAGTTTAACAATGGCCTTTCTTAAAACTGTCCAAAGGGTTTGGACGGTGAGAGGGAGATATTGATAAAATCGTCAAATAGTTTTCCCTCATCTTTTTATATCCAACACCTCAACCTAAAATCTCAGTTCTGCCTCTATATTTCAATTGAAAATAATATTGATTTAATATTTCCTGTTCCACACCTTGACACAAGTTATAACCACACAAAGGAAAATTACTCACTTATTAATCAGTGATGCGGAAAAAAACTTACCTGTAAAATCTTTGGCGATCCTTGACGCCCCAGTGTGCCAAGTATCACACCAAACTTTCCACTCTGAGCTGCACGAGATATGGCCTGCTTCCGTACAGTATGCATCTTTTCCGTCTCATAATACTCTCTTGAGAATATCTTGCTGTATGGATCATACCTACAGGGATAAATGTTCCTGTTAATTACTTCGAACAAACAATGCAGCAGAGCATTATATATTAAAGTTTGTTTATATTAAAGTTTGTTTAAAAGATGAGAGCTGATATTCATTTAATTTCTGCTACAAGTTAAGTGTTGATTTAAAACAAACTGCTACTAATGATGCATAATATTTTGTATTCACTAAGAGACTTTTCTGGGGAATATTATGCTGAAGGTGTCATGCATCCCCAGGTAGGTATTTTAAAGGAGAGGTACCTGTTTCCTGTAGGGTCCTACTAAATACTGTATGGGTCATTCCTATGTTAGTCCATATGTCATATTATAAACATATAAACATAGGTCTATATATATACCTGTAGGCAGGAATCTGTGGATTACTGATCATGACGCTCTCAAGATGAAACCTGCCGTCTCCTAGGTAACTGTGAGTTAAAAAAAGAAGATATGTATTATTCAAGACTTGAATAATAGGGGGCAAGGGCAGGGGCAGGGAGGCACTATTATTAATACTAAGTGGCGGTGGGTTCTAAAATAAATGTTGAAAATGTCTTTGGAGAATAGAAGTGAAAGAAATTTGGGTGATGGGGGTCACAACAAAGTCTCTCCAACCAAACACAGAGTTGTCGCTTGTTTTACTTGCTCAAGATTTCTCTTTCACCTCCTTTCACATCCTGACAAATGTGACATCATGATGAATTAAAATGAACAATAAAATGACATTGCAGATCCACCCTCTTAAAAAATTAAAAATACACAACTACGGACCAAGGGGAACCTCTATAAGACATTTTAGAAAAGATCTGTCCAGTACTTCTTGAGAAAAGCTCACCAACTGATGATGGTGGGATAAAACATACTTCAACAAAAATACTTACATTAGAGCAGTGACATCTGGTGACAGTTTGGGAGATGTACACCCCAGAATTTCTCCTGGTGACAACGGTTTGGACTGTGGAATAGTGACCTGGAACTCAGTCTTTAGCTCGTTAGCTGCAGACTGAATAATGAAAATACAATTATAGTAAGTGATATCAACTCAGACGACATTTTGTTTATGTGATAACAAGTATAACTCTGTTCAACATCATTAGTAAAAACCACAAAATGGCAACTCTTGACAAAAAAATGGATGCATTAATTATCATGGAAAAAATACATCAGAGCTGTATAGTTCTGACAAAAGACAGCTGATACAGAAAGAAAATGAAAATTTAAATGTAAAGCAATCAAAATCTGTACAATTCTGACAAAGGACAGGTCAGATAAGGTGAGTTTTTTACCTGTAAAGCTGCCACAAACTGAATGGTACTGACGAGGGCTAGGTGAGAACCAGGTGAGAAGTTGTGATGGAGTGTGTCCAAGAAGTGAGCTGTGTCAATTTTGATGTCCACGAAGACATACAGCATCTGTATCCCTTCAGTCCTGTCTATCGGAACTATTTATAGTAACAAACAACAAGGGTCAAGGACAATCCATCCATATTCAACATAACCGGAAGCGTATGGGAGCAGTCTTTCATAAAGTACTAACTACATGATTCCCCTTTGAACCTCCACATGGACGATTCTGTGTGTGTGAACTGGAGGTTGTATAGGTTTTCAACTTGTTATGGGTCTGTTTTGTTTTTCAGTGGCTCATTCATATGTAGTGGCATACCACTGTCCCCTGAAACACTGGCTGGATAGCTTAGTGGGACAATCACATATGTGGTGACTTAGCTAATGAGGCTACACTGTGTAACTCTTGTTTGAATGAGTTTTAATGAAAATTCACAAGATATTTTACCTTGTGATTGACTTGCCATATAACGGGAAATGATAAATTCAGATAAATAATGTTATATTTGTTCATAAAGAGAACATAAAGAAGAGTTTGCTCCAACACTGAACAGACAAAAATTTAGATCTTTCCCTGTCAGATTGGAATTGTTTAGAATCTAACAGAAATATTGTGTCTATTGACAAACAAAGCAAAGTAATTGTTATCTGTACTGGTAAGATTTTTATTTTGTTTGAAATTCAGGCAGTATTTTAACTTTACCTAGACAACTGTGTCCATAATGAATCATAAGCTCCGCCCCTAAAGCCCTGGCAGTGAAGTCATCGACACAGCAGGCTCCATATGTCACATCACCCATGATTAGTGTGTCCGCCTCTGTGAATCTGTATAACATAAGTAGATTTTTCTGAACATGAACACAAAGACCGAGATTTTTGGAGAAAAAAACTGACCAATCACAAGTCTGATACATGTCCTTTGAAGACTACAGAGGAGCGACACCCGATTTCAAAGCCTGTCCATTTTACCATTATCGGACTACGAGATTCTTTTAATGTATATCTATATATGAGGGCTCAAACTAGTGCATACAGAGCCTTCAATTTCGTCATAATATATTCCAGGGGTGCAGAAAATGTAATGTGCGTAACCTTGTATATTCAACAGAGTGTTAATTAAATATAAAACACATGATTGATTTTTTCCCTATGTTCAATTTCCTTCTCATTCAATGGTTATATTAAAGATCCCTGTCCCACTGCACTGTCATTTTTCGTACATATATATATTTATTTACAGTAACATCCCCTTAACTTCCGTTTGAATATAACTGTAGCACAGTTGGGCCGGAACACTTCCGTTAACCAGGTAGCAGGTAGTCATCCAGGGAAAAAAACAGTTTCCATCACTTAGTTTAAGTTTATGGCAGTGGTACGGGGACCCTTAAAACCAATGTGAAAATCCTGTTTCACACAAAAACAACATTTCCCTGCATTTGTCCATATAATCATACTTACTCCTCAATGATGTCAGCAATAGTACAGGCAAACAGTAACAATCCCTCGGGAAACTGGAGTGCAACTGTAAATATAATAACGGGTACAGTACATGAGAACCTCAATAATCCAGATTCCAACAAAAAGTATATGAAATATGTACATCATATACCAAGGTACCTCGATTTACAGGTATATGCATATTTTTCACAAGCGCTATTTTTTCTTTAAAATAGCTGTCAATCCACAAAAGAGCTAAACTCGGTAAATTGAAAAACAAGTAATACATTTAATTAATTAATGACATAAGAAAGCACATATTTGTTTCAAAGTTTCATTCTGGAAACCATTCATACGCAAAACTCATAAGAAAAAGTTTTTTTCAGCATTTTCAGTCTAAAATAAGTACCTGCGCAAATTACATAGGTAGGCAAATTACATACTTTGTTTAGGGAAAGTGTTTGATCATATATATATAGTCCAGCTGTTCTACAATGTAAATTATCGAATGTATTAATACCATCAAATAAACTACCCAATCTTAACTTACGAAATTCACTAGAGGCAGTTTCATAAACAATAATGTGTAACAATAATTTGTAATATATGACATGTATAAGTAAAAAAAGAGTGGAAGACCGCGATGGCCATACTAGTATTTGAAGCCTAACTCTCTGTCAATCTAACCCAATCAAGTTGCACTTACATTCCTCTTTTCTTCAACAACGTCTTTGCCCTCCGAGACTGTTATACCTAGGAATTCCTATACATTTTGTACCATCCTCCGTGGGTATAATGAGTTTGGTGTCAAATATAATTTGGTACTATTTGAAAATTGCAATGGCGCTAGACCAAGTCTTTAGGCAGCCATTCTAACCAACTATAAATCTCGTCACCGATCACCTTTCCAGCACAGGTATACTCATTTTGCACTAGAACGAATACTCATACCCTGCCTACTCTCCGCTCCGTACGACCATCTATCAGAATTCGTCCGTCCGTCGTCCAAAGCTACGTTATCGCAGCTAATTTGGTACATACATGTATATATATCTTTAAATAATCACCTCTCTTGGCTTGTGTTGTCCGTACCCTCCATATCGTCTTAAATATCTCAAAATTGTAGTTATCTGGTAGCTGTAATATATAATAACATATTAATAACATATCGAAACATTCACAAGATAGAGACCTTTTTTTTGTTATAAACTTACAGTATAAATTGAACATGCAATATATGACGTAATAAATGCCCTGTGGGGGCATCAATTTAGGAAAATATGAATGATGCCGAATTTTCCAAACTTTAAAAAAAATAAAAAAAATTATGTACAATTTGATAAATTATAGTGAAGGGAATGGACCCTGTCCCTTAGACCAGAACTTTTTATTCTATCAGTAAACCCTGGTCATGCATGCCTATCACAATATATTTATACAAATGTACAATACAGTGCTAGGTATTGTTATATCACAGCGATAACATTTATATATTACCCAATATTACAAATTATAATTGTAAATTTTAAAGAATAATGCATTCATCTTTCAAGTACATACACACATTAAAGGATTTTCTCTGTCTAGATTTAATTATTTTTTTATATATTCATTTCACATAACATGTTTATACTTTCAAATTTATTTTCAACTATAAATCTAATGCAAATGTAGCCCAGAATGTATTCAGAAATAGTGAAAAAGCAAGAGACTGTACAAGGGTGTACCTGTTTGATAGCTTCTTGTAGCTTTACATCATTGAGAATATCCTCAGGAATCTGGTGGGCAGCACGTCTTGGACCAGCTCCTGCAATCATAATTAATTTCCATACATGTATTTAAATCAGGCCAAATAAAAAACATGTTGTGCTTCCAGTAACCCTATACCTACCTTAACCTTCTGCGCCTATACCCCAAATTGTTCATGTAATTCTTTAAAGAAGCACTATTAAAGTTAAGATCAATTGCCAATATAAAACACATACAATTATTTCTAAAAAAAAAAGATAGTTTCCTTCTTACTCTGAATTTTTCGAACATGTTACAGGAACACACTATTTTTTGTTTTACCTTTTGATTGTTTCTCTGAAAGTTTAGCCTAAATACGTAACCGCCCTGAAAAAAAGTACAGCTGCTTAAGTAAGAAGATAAATTCTTATTATTCAACCAGATTATCTATTTCATTTTCCACAATGTTTTTTACATGGAATTAATGAAGCAAATAATATGATTTAAACGGTGCCTAAATAAAATTGGTACAAAAATATGGCACCATGAATTAAACCATCAACAGAAGTTATAATCTGGGACATTATAGGTATAAATATATATGGTGTCTGCAAGATCAGTGATTTTATTTGTGTTGGGGTTTTTTGGTCTTGTAAGACAACAGCTGAAACCATTATGCTTCTTAACAAAAAACAAAATGGGGTTTTTTCCACCAAAAATTATATATATGCGTTCATTTTGTCGAGTCTCAGAAGACACTAATTTACCTACTATGCAGTCTTATTCCAAGTTGCTGCACACATTTTATCCAAGCCTGTTTGCTGATATATAATTACTGTATGTCCTTCGAGTATTGAATATAATAAATACATAATTCATTGGACATACAATGTACTTGTATTTTGATAATACGGTTTGTTTAAACATATTTTTATTATTGTAAATAAGGACAACTAGGTTTGAGCACAAGTTTTGCCAGCTTAGTAACACCCTCTCCTTAATACATCATGTTGTTTAAATACATTATGGATGGCAGTGAATTAACTTTATCCGATCTTATAGTAGAAACAGTGAGAGAAGGAAAGCAGCAAGAAGAAGGGCAGAAGATAGGTAGGATCATCCCCCAAATATATATATATATTATACAAACACATGTAAATGTTTAAAACAATATTTGATTAACAGCAATCTGACAGCCTGGAAAAATATCCATCAACACTTTCATAAACTGTGTCCACCATAATAAGGTTAGACACAACACCGTTTTAACTTCATACTGTTCTTACAAAAAAACTTTGCCATTATAGGTATAATACACTGTATGCTGTTAGTGAGACTGTACACTTTCACTTGCTATTCATAACCTTAGTTATTTCTCAGCAATTTTTTATACCATATTATTATAACTACTTATTAATATTAGAATTCTCCTAAGGTGTAGTTAAAAATAATGCATCAAAAACATTCACTGATTGAGATGAAAATACCTGTTTTTGAGAAATTCTGTTAAGGATTTTCATCTTTGGAAACAAATTAATGGCAGTTCATAATACAAAATATCAAATATCTTTTTCTCAATTGTTGATGCCATACATTTTTCATTATTTCATACAAATTGTAATGCACAAGTTCAATTAATTAAATGCATTTTTGTGTGTAATATTTTTATCTGATTTAATGTGGAACAATTGGTTCGTCTGTATTTAAACATAACATTTCTGTGTATAAATTCTGGCAGACATGGAATGTTTATGCAACCTTGCAAGGCTTTGTCAAGGCTTGCCTGAAAACAGCATAATATTACTTTAGGACCTTATTTCATAAACGAACAACTCTGGTCCAACCAGATCAACTGTTTGGATCACAATAAACGAAAGCAGCCCAGACTAAGGATCTATAGATAGGTAGGGTCAGAAAACATAAAATATAGTGTTTCCTGTAACATGATGGGAAAATTTAGGGTAGGAAGGTATAGGTAGGTAAAAAAAACAAGAGCTCTAGACTTTAACAGTGCTTCTTTGAAAATTGCCTTCAAAAGTTAAGGTAGGCACAAAAAGTAATGGTAGGTTGGGTTACCGGAAACACCAAATATGTTTTGTTAATTGGCATAGCCAAATATTAATACTGTACTGTGTACAGCTGTTAGATTGTTGACAGGTTGAAGCAAACATTGATATCAAAGAGAGGTGAAACAAAATGATGTCCTAGAGCTATGGGTCGATCTTTAATCAAATGAAATTTGAGAATATTGATACAAAACAAGCCAAAGTGTGACAAACCTTTGATAATCTTCCTATTAACACTAGCTTTGACAACAGTCGGTGTGCTTTCCATGGGCGCAGCCATCTTGGAATAAGGGAAATAATTCAAACTTTGGAACTCTTTTACCCGGAAAATAGAAAAAAAATTGTAGACGAAAACATGAAATTTTGAGATGGAAGAAAATGCTGAAGAAATCGAGGTGCTGGTAAGTTGATATTTGTGAACGTCTTTGTATCATTCAATAAATTGAAAACCATTTTTATTGTATGTGTATTGGTAGGCGTATTTCCGTACCTAAGAAACTCGAAACCTTTATTTAATCATATGACACGACACGCACCTGCTATTTACATGTGTATTTATTGTACATGTGTACAGTAGATCTACATGTCATCACATTCCGTCATTCACTCATTGTCAACTCACTTAATATCAGACAGGTATTTTATTTAGTGAATCGATATGTATCTCTCTGATGCGTGTTAACAAAAATTATAATATAACTGATTGATTGTCTTTCTGATAAAATACCATTTAAAAAAAAAAAAGGTTATATCACGGACTTAGATAATTCCGTGGTTATATTGATCTAGCAATAATTCTAGTGTGTAAGGAATTATTATTTTCTGGTGACATTGATTTCTGTTATAACTACATAGCGTAACTGGACTGGGTCAATCCCCGCCTACCAGGTACAATGAAGCTCAATTGGTTAGAGCGGTTGTCTCGAGTTCGGAGGGCCCCGGGTTCGAACCCTGGTCTTGCCGTTGCATTTCCCTTTCTCCTGTAACAAATTTGGCGCCAAACAAAATATACCCACGGAGGGTGGTAATAGGGTCTTGTGTGTCTTCAGGATCAAAGAATTTGTTGAAGGAGGAGGAATGTAGCGGAACTGGACTGGGTCGATCACCGGCGACCAGGAAGCTTATATAAATTGGTTAGAGTGTCCGTCTAGAGTTTAGATGGTTAGGGGTTTGAACCCCAGTGTGGCTGTTGCATTTCTCTTTCTCCTGTTACAATAACTTTTAACTGATAACAGAACATAATTTTCAAAACAAATAACTTGATGAATAGTAACAATTCTTTTCTCAGTTCCTTTCAAAAGTTGCATTCACTGCTAGTTTAAATGTGATTAAACCACAGAATTAGATTATAAATACCACAGGAGTCTGAAAATCTGTAAAAAAATAATAATAACAGTAAAAGCATAAAAAGACTATAACATGCTTAAAAAATAGATTAAGCATATTAATTAGTTATTATTAATTTTTGACAGAATTTCAGACTTCAAAAATATTTACATGTACAGTGTTTTTGCAAGTGCTCATTAGCTATTGTTTAATCTACAGAATTTTATATGACATATTCCTTAATTTATTTGACTCGACATGTTCCAAGAGGATCTAATAGAGCATTGTACAAGAAATTGATTAAAGCTGGCTGCACAATGAGTTAATTAATTCTGATATATATATACCAATTCACATAGAACATCATTTTCCGAATGAAAGTATACACCCTGTTTAAGGTGAAATTATCACCTACAAATACTCTAACTTGCCAAAAGGATGATGGTCAATATAAGAAATTTTGTACGGATCAGAGCTTGATAACTAGAATTATCGCGACACGAAACAATGACAAAATTTCTGATGACGTCAATACTCATAAGCCAATTAAAAGAAATCGTACTGCAGACTCCAGTCCAATGGAATAATTGCATTGTCAATTTACCCAGAATAAAAATTTAAACATACATTATGTCAGAATATTATTTTATAATCCAACAACATTAAACTCAGCTAGACAATGACATCATCTGTGCATTACAGCCAGTTGGAACCATATCTGATACATCAACTTGTATCTGACCCTTATATATATGTATAGCGAGTAAATATTGATCCTTGGACACTTGGTTAATTACTGTTGTTCATTGTATATTAATGATTACCTCTATTTGAATATTTATTAGTGACAATCATAGGTGGTATTGACTTGTTTCAGAGAAAAGAACTGGAATGGCTCCTCCAAGAGCAGGTGCATCAAGTTCTGGAGGAAGTTCACGAGACACTTGTGGTGAGAATATTGTTATTTTAATATTCAGAGATGTGAAATATATATACAACAGAAAGTTGACTATCCAAAACTAGAAAAAGGTCGAGATAAGCAGTCGTTGACATAACCAGTCACAGTGTTGAAGCACAAGATATTATCATGAAAAACAACCCTGGTTCAAATAATTTGAAAGTTTGAAGTTCGGATGATCCACATAACCAGTCATATAGTGTTGAAGCACAAGATATTATCATGAAAAACAACTCTGGTTCAAATAATTTGAAAGTTTGAAGTTTGGATGATCCACTTTCTGTTGTATGTGTTTTAAATCAAAAGAATGTTTTATCAGATATTTTAGAAAATTAGGAACTAGAAGTATTTTTGATTTGTTTACCAGTACATTGATTTTTTTTAAGGGGAGGTTAATACCTGGAAGTTCGTTGAAAATGACATCACTATTAACACAAGTTAATGGTTCATGCTGTTCATACTTTTCCAAAATATGTGATCATCTAAAAAAAAAATCAGATGCTTTTCAAAATATTATTTAATCATTGATATACAGCATACTTCCAGACAAATGCTGCTGCTTGTAAAAATTGTTTGTCAGCTTGTTACGTATATATATATACTTTCTGCCATATACTTTCTGCATATATACAGGTACTATTTAGATATTTCCTTTTTCATGATTTTTGTAGAAAAAGCTATTTTTTACAAGATGATGTAAACTAAACTAATTATCATTAATTTCACAAATTCAAATTAGTTATATTTTTATATATTATTTTTTTCTAGGAATGCTGTCGAAGGTTTCTGATAAAAGCAAGTCCAGGTATGATGTCTTTATATTTAAAAAAAAAATGTTAATTTATTAAATTGATATTAATAACTACATATATTCTTGACTAACAGATTTTATCATAAGAGGTTTTTGTATATATATATATACATTTTATACACATGTATGTTTTCTCATGAATTTGACAGCTAGATCAGAGATGGATAGTTGCTGGGTGGTTTTTTTTTTAAGTATATATTATAAGCAAATTCATATATTTGATTACTGTACTTATTTTATTGGGCACGTCAAGTCATGTCAAGTCAAGAACATTGTATTTAAAGTTGTAACATTGTTTAGCAAACCTACACAAACCTTTCTAAGTTACTGTGTGGTGTTGGGTTTACCGTAAAGTGTAATGGATTCATTTATGTTCTTATTCATTGATTAAAATATCATCGCTACAGATTTTTTTTATATGAATTCATGCAGATTTTTCGTTTGAGAATCAGGAGCAGATAACTCGAAATCAACAAGATGGTGGTAAAATCTTTACTTTCATCTCTACTGTACTGCCTCACCTATTGTGCCTATTTATTTTGCGAGTCTGACATTTTTTATTTATTTTTTTAATGTTGTTATGTTTATCCTCCCATTTATATTTCCATTCTCTTTTTTCCAAGACTTCCAAGTACCCACCATTAAATGAAAAATATGAAAAGAATTTAAAAGAAATCCTCAGAAAAAAAATCCTCCTCCTTTATACCATTCCAAGAATGATAGCCAATTTCAACAAAATATAACAATTTCTTTTGTACATTGATTATTGCCTGCACCCATATACACTACACTTAGTAAATAAGTATCCGGTATCGTTGTACTCCTGACACAGATGTGATATCACCATTCATCTCACCGCCCACATATTTTGTTGTACTTTCATACATCCCACTATTATATTGGAATGCACCTTTGTATGTCAAATTTCCCACATACGACCCTGTCCAAGCAGAACACACTTACAGCCAATACTTTATTTTTATGTGATCGGGTGGCGCAGTGGATAAAGCACTTGCCTTTCACTAAGGCGACCAGGGTTCGATTCCCTGATTACGTGAAAAGGTATAGTGTCACCTGCCCGCAAATGTGGTTTTCTCCGGGTACTCCGGTTTCCTCCCACATTCAGACCCCCACGCCCTAACATTCTTTACAACAAGGGCGAATAATATAAGTTGAAATAACTTGTTTCATAATTGTTGTAAAATAAATAAAGTTTATATTACTTTACATTTAGAAACAGGTTTTTTAGAAAACACATGTTTATTTTACACTGAAACTTTTGCAGATAGACCTATATAGATGGATGTTCAGTTTATATGTAAATCACTAGCATGCAGTTGAATGTCTGCTTTTCACAGGTTTTCTGATTATGCAAAATTGATTTTAAAAACATATTTGGAAACGTAAGAGGCTTAAGACTTACTCACACTTATGGCTCCCTGGCTCCCAGACAAAACATTAGAAAATTCCGCTGTACTTGGATTCACTAAATAAGGTGCTGAAATTATATAAGTGGTAGGTTTCCTTTAATGTTGTAAAATTGTTATAAAGTGAAACCTGTCTGATTTGACCCCTGAGTATTCTGACATACTGTTATATCTGACTCCTGATTATTCTGATATATAATGTTATTCCCATTTCTTATGAAAACTACCAAGTAAGACCTGTGTATTTTGAAAACCTGTCTAAGTTGACCAATATACTGTGTTCCACAAGGTGTCAGATTAGACAGGGTAATAATTGTAATCAGTGATAGCTATATAGCAGCCTTTTGAAAAGTGGCGTCTCAAAGAAATGGTTAATTTGGTTACACATGTACATAGGAATATGTAACAAAATTGTATTTTTGCTTACTTATTTTGTTAGAAAAACAACATTAATGAAACCACTGGTAATGTTATTAGCAAGGTCTATGCTGGGTGTTTTTCTTCGTCTTTGTATTCCAAACCTAAGCATGGTGGCAAAGAATTATAAAATCAATTACCTGTAACTGAGCGAGATCGGGTTATCTCAGTTGAGGGCTTAAATTCTTTAACATAATCCCAACTGAGGCGTAAGCCGAGGTTGGGATGTTACAGAATCTTAGCCAGAGACTGAGATAACCTGATCTTGCTCAGTTACAAGTAATTGTGTTTTTTCTCGCACCATTTAGTTTGAAAAACTTTTCAATTTTGCTGAAGTCAACAAGAATCTTGTCTGGGGCCTCAAATAAGTATGCCCTATTCACTACTAAAGATACATCTGAATGCTTCTGCGTTAAAATTAAGTCTGTCTTTGCAAATAAGACATTAACGTACATATATTTCACAGTGAAGATTATATTTTTTCTACAACAACAGGAATCTTACAACATCAAAATAATACATATAACAGAATATCAATAACGTGGATTGTCAATTTCAACCCTTTATTGCGCGAATGAATACATTGCTTTGTGAAAATTCCGCGAAATGTCATGTAACGATGCCAGACAGATCCGAGGAAATAGAAAATATATCACTGGGTATCACGTGGGATATCCCTGTCTGAGGTGCGAGAAAATGAGGGCTATGTTGAATTGTATGCTTTTTAATATTTGAGATTTTTTTCATCAGCACTATTTCGAAATTATATATTATAACTAGATCTAAATAATCATGAAAGTTCATTTTGTGGTCACCTGAGAACATTTTCATAAACTAGGGATATGGGAATGAGTTTTGCACATTTCTTTTTTTACCCTAGCTGTTTGTTTTCATACCTGTACATGAAGAGACCTCACTGATGGAAATGTTTCTGTTTTCCTCTGATATTGTGTAGTTTTGTGCTGTTTCGGGATTGTGCTTTACAGTTATAATTTAATGCTTTCTGTGTGTTTATTTTTTAGAAAAATCTGTTTGGTCGTAGAATTTTGTATGTTGGGGTTTGTTGTTTTGTTGTTCACTTTTCAGATTTTGCTTTCTGTGCATTTTTTGTACTATTTTGTATGAATATGATTCAAATCTGAAAGTAAAACTTCCAACTTAATTATCTTAAGTCATTATTTGAAAATCTAATTGCATATCAACGCGAAAATGAGGGCGATAGGATTTTCTGTTTTATTCTGCCTTTAGTTACGGTAGCTAAAACAAAATCAGAAAAATTGGGTTTACTAAGGATCTTCTGCTATTTTCAGATATAATGCTTATATACTGTTAAACAATTTTTTTGAAACGCCTTATGTTGACGATACAATTGTTGACTCTTGTTTGTTATGTATATTATTCTTACTTAAAATTTCAGAATTTCTGAACAAATTTGTATTTCTCAGTTCCAAAGTTTTAAAGAAGAACAAGCTCTATATGTATAACAATTTAGCTGTCTGTTCTTCTCTCCATCATTGTATGATCCGTCCATGTTTTTCCATGCATGCATGAACCGCATCAATTTATGTTAGTTCAATCATACCAAATGTATGGATCGGCATTATTGTTTGAGTCGTCAATACATCATAGGAAAATCTAAACATAGAAGTGTCAGAGATCCAACCCCACCCCTTCCCACCTCATTTTGATTTAGGGGGGAAAATGCAGAAAGAAAATGTAATCGAACATCATTATTCAGGACAACTACTAGACTAAGTACGTTCTTCCCTGGTTTAATAACATAAGACAATTTATTACTGAAGAGAAGTGTTCTGACATATATATTTAGTAACATCAGGAACATGATTTCTAAGAATCTCACAACCAGGGCCCGTATTCAAGAAACCGTTCCATGCTCGAACTCAGATTCTATGATCAAACTCAATTTCTTATTAATGTGAAAAATAAATAGATAAAATCACATTTTGTCAATGATATGGAAGAAATTTGGTGAGACTCAAGCCAAATACTGTTTTCAATGGTAACACTTGAGATTTTGATTATGACACCTAATTTAAGCAAGTTACACGAAAGTTGGCTTGAACACAGAATCCATGCTTGAGCATAAGAATGGTTTCATGGATACAGGCCCTGGACTTCATTGTTTTAGTATATAATCTACCATGGCCAGTTGTTGTCTGGTCCTAGTGTTATTGTACAGTGTATTGACCTGTATTGAGGTATGTTGTTAATAACATGTACATGTATCAACTGACTGCAATGAGGTGGTCCAATTTATTTATTAACCTTTAATTTGTTACAGGAGATCACAGCCTGGTTCATTCTCAGAGAATCCTCATGTCAAGTCCAAAGTAAGTTATACCAAGTCTTTGCAAGAAAAAAGAAATTGAGGAGACATGATCAGGTCCATATTGATGTATTTGGGCCCTTTTATTTATCCAATCCAGACCTGTACAGGTTGTGGGAAAGAATAGACCTGCTCTATTGAACTGCATGATTAAATGCAGTGCCTAATGTAGGGCCTCCTACAGAATCAGGGGTTTTCTTGTCTGTCTTCTGCTTTATACTGGAAACTGGAAGACAAGGTATATATAGACCTGCTTTATCCTGATGCTTTAATCTTGATAAAGGGTCAGATTCCTGGGAAATTAGACAATTTATTTTGACAATATATATAGACTTAAGAAATTATACAAACATGTTTTTTTATCGTTATCCCCAGTTCTTTATCAAATTTTGCTTCATTTTCATGTCGATATTAAGAGTTAATATTTTTTGTTAACAATGTGTTGTTCCAGTGGAGGCATCAACCAGGTGAAGTGTGTGATAACATTACTCGGAGACAGTATATGTGATGCAGTAAGTATATACGTACCATACAATTCACCTGTATACAGATCAGCAACCTTGTTCAAATTGAATTCAACAACATATAAAAAATACTCACAGATTTTTTTTATTTATGTGTTTGAATTTAATAAACACTTTAGGGTATATTCCTGAGTATTTTCAACAACAACAACAACAAAATAGAAATATTTCATCATTTAGAGGGAATAATAATTGTTGTCTTCTTAAATGCAAAGCACAATGAATTCTGAGATATGAAAATGAAATATTGTTTTAAGGACCAAAAATATTATCTGTACTGTCTGTAATATCTCAAACGACATTGAGACATATCATTTGATTATGTCAACTTTTCCATTCACATCACATTAGTTTGTTGTTATTTTCACTGTATAGAAAATTCAATTTACTGTGAATAATAATGTGTTATTTTTACAATGAAATATTATTTTTTGCTTTAATATACCAAAATATATGAATCAAAAATTTAACATACCCAGTATCAACTATCACTATACTTTGAGTCTATTCCAGATATGACTATATGAGGGTATAGGCACTTGATAATAATGGGGTCTACAATATATTTATTTAAACCTTTTACCACTGTAGACCATAATGGACTCATCCAGATCAATGCATGGTGAAGTCTACTAAAGTTACATAGGGGTGAAAGGGTTAAAAGTCTGTATAAATTGAACCAGTTAGTACAAGGAAAGAAAAAAATGGCAGGTGATGGCCAGGGGTCACAAGATGTCTTTGTCTGTCCCAGCATAGTGTGTTTTTTGCAAAATATATCAGAATAACTATGAAATCAAAATTGTACCAAGTGTAAAAAAATATTCGATCAACTGTCACTATGGTAAAAAATCACGATTTTTTTACTAGGATATAACCTTCAAACACAAGCAAGGAAAAGATCACAGTCAGTTTAGGACAGGATTTGGACAGGAGAGGGTGTGGAAACTACAACAGGTGAGTCAGAAGTATCACAGTCCAAATTTATCACTGAGAATTGTGGACTGTATGTCAATGAGGAATGAGATGGCCAGTAAGGATTCAATTCAAAATATCTTATTGGTAATACATTAAAATTACAATTATACAAATGAACAGATAACAAGAAATGTAAGGGATGAGACGACAGGCTAAGCCTATATATCAGTCGTTTCCTTAAAGTAAGGATTGTGATGTGGTCAGTTAGAATTGTACGGTCTGTGGGAATTATATTTTGTAGGTGAGTGATTGTGTTATGGTCAGTAAGAATTGTATTGTCAATTGGACTTATATATGGTTGATGAGTGATTGACAATGAAGTTTAGGTTCAGCTATAATATAACTATGGTAGCAATGATTCTAAAACTAGTGTATGTTTCATATTTGTCAGATCCAGGATGCCAGCAACTTCCTGTACACTGCCAGACTACAGGTAGAGGGCCAAGATAGGGACCACACATACAAAAGTGCCAAGGAAGTGATATTGGTAGGTTAAAGTACTGCATACCATTCTATTGTAGCACTAACCCTGATCCAGCTGTAAGGTCTAGATGACCAGTGGTATTGATAGTTACTGCCTCATTGTCTTTATGCCAGCTCTACTTCTATCACAAGGTCTAGATGCTATTGAGGAGATAAGTTATGTAGCTCACCTCTAAACCTGTCTCTGCCAATCAAATAATCGTATCCAATCATTATAGCACCACTCTTGGATGGCCATGATGTCTGAAGAAAGTTCGACATATTTTTATTTTGAAATTATCAGACACAGAATTCACTGATGATTGATGATGTTGGTGGTTATTTGTTTCATGCTTCTACTTACCTACCTGGTTGGTGCTTTTAGTTCAGCGTAAAAACTCCCCCCACCCCCACCCCCACCCACAAAAAAAAACCTGCGCATTTTACACGAGTGCGCACAATGCACAAATATTCACAGTAGTTTCAAGTCTCAATGTGCATTATACTGTAATTCATCTCAAGATCAAAGTTTTACTTTAAATGACTTCTTCTGAATAACCAAAATGCACAGCATGTTGATATCTGGTCAGAAGCATAATGAGATCAAGGGCTACCAAGTTTGTTAAAGTGAATGACCTTGGCTTATATTCAAGGTCACAGGGTTCAAATTTGTTTAAAATCTTTAAAAAACCTTCTTGTGAATAACCATGAGGCCAGGAATATTGATATTTAGCCAGTGGCATGCCTGGATGAAGGGTTATCAATCTTTTTCATTTGAATGACCTTAGCACACTTTCAAGGTCACATTTGGTCAAATATGTATAAACATTTAAATGACATAATCTAAATAAACAAAGGATAGGGTGGTGATATTTTGCAAGTTGTATCCTGAGACCTGAGATGAAGCTATAAAATTTGTTTTTCAAGGTCACAGAGGTGAAATGTTTTCAAATCTTTTAAAAGGTTCTTTTGAATGACTTATAGTCATAAATACTGATATTTTGCCTTTAGCTTTATTTTAGATCACTTTTAAGGTTACAAGTGTGAGATTAATACCAGGTGAGCGATGCATTGGGCCTCTTGTTAACCATTAAAGATATCTTGATAAATATGCAACCGATTGGAGGAGGAAGAATGCAAATTCACTCTCTTAGCTAGTAGAGACATATTTTCAACAAAGCAGTTTATAATTTCTGGTTGATATTGGACAGTCTCACCCCTCACCTATCCTCTTCATGCCGGTCGGCATTTAAGGCCCTGTTACATTTTTTCCATTTGACACGGTCTTTAGCTGTTGTCCTTGCTGTAGCCCAGCTGTTCCATCCAAGTGTTGTTCTTTCTGTCTCAACAGTCCGTCTCCAGGTGGTTTTGGGACGTCCTACCTTCCCTTTTCCCTCTGGTTTCCATGTCAGTGCCACTGAACATATGCTGTTAGTGTCCATTCTTAGTACATGGCCAATCCATCTCCAACGACGTTCCATAATATCATCACTAAGTTTCTTTGTTCCAGCTCTGATGTGAAGGTTTTCATTTGATATGATGTTGGGCCATCTTATTTTCAAAATTTGTGTCAGACATCTAGTTTGGAAGGTGTTCAATTTCTTTTTGTCTTGTTCTGTTGTCTTCCAGGTTTCACATCCATACAGTAGAACCGATATAACCAGGCTGTTAAATAGCCTGACCTTTGTTTTGAATGACAGTACTGATGATCTCCATATTTTCCTTAACCCTTTCACCACTGTAGACCATAATGGACCCCTCCATATCAATGCATTGTAGAGTCTACTAAAGTTACATAGGGGTGAAAGGGTTAACCTCCTGAATTGGCCTTTCGCTTTCTTGAACCTGTTGTCTATATCATTGTCACAGCCACCTTTTGTTGTTACTATTCCTCCTAGGTAAGTAAAGGTATCAACATCTTCTAGGTCTTTTTCATTTAACTTCACTGGGTTGTTATCAGTGGTGTTCATCAGCATTACTTTAGTCTTGGAAGTATTTACCTTCAATCCTATCTTGCTGGCATTTTCTTGAAGTTTGTTTGTTTCAGCTGTATATGTTGGAATTTGGAAGATAGTAGTGCAAGATCATCTGCAAAATCAAGGTCTTCTAATTTGGTGATAAATTTCCATTGTTTTCCTGTTCATGTTCTTTTATTGTTTGCTTCATGACATAGTCAATGGCTAACAGAAATAAGAAGTCAGACAACGTGCAGCCTTGCTTTACTCCTGTTTTAACTTTGAACCAATCAGATTGTATCCCTTCGTCTATGACTGAACATTTGAATGTGTCATAAAAGAGTTTTATTACTGTGATGAGTTTGTCTGGGATGTGATATGCTTTCATGGTGGACCATAAGCTTTCCCTGTGGATGGAATCAAACGCCTTCTCGAAGTCTACAAAATGTATGTATAAAGGATGATTCCATTCAGAACATTGTTCAATGATGTTTCGTAAAGTGAAGAGTTGCTCTTCCCCCTTCTGCAGCCAGCTTGTTCTTGTCTTAGCTCTTCATCTATTCCTTCCTGGGTCCTTTGTATGATGATTTTGGTGAATACCTTACTAGGCACAGATAGTAGTGTTATGTCACATACTGTTCTATCTCCTTTCTTAAGTATTTTAACAATAAGACCTTTACTCCACTCCTTTGGTATTTCCTCTCCTATCCATATCATGTTGAAAAACTTAAGCAAATATTTGGTAGTTGTTATTGTATCTGCTTTTAGGATCTCAGCTGTTATACCATCTACACCTCCTGATTTCCCATTTTTTAATCTTTTCAATGCTTTTGTAATTTCCTCTTTCCTGATAGGACCAGTATCTATCTGTCTTTCTTCAATTTCATAGTTAAGATTGATGTCAAGTGGAATGTCTGGTCCAGTCTGTTTAAAACTTATTCAAAGTGTTCTTTCCAACTTTCCTGTTTCTCATCATGGCTAGATAATGGATTTCCTGTCTTGTCTTTGATGACTTGAGGTGGTTTTCGTTTTTCATTGCAAATTGTTCTTGTTACTTCATATACTGTTTTCATCATACCATTGCTTGCTGCTTTTTCTGCTTCTTCAATTAGGTTGGATATTGGACAGTATATATGACAAAAATGCTTGTTACTTTTGCAGATCCTGGATGAAGTGATGAAGAACCTTACCCAGGGCCGATCCTGCTTAGCGTTTCCCAAACGAAAATCTATAGATGAGCTTGTAAATAATGTAAATATGGTAAGTGGTATATAACTTGAATAATAATATGAAAACCACACGTATGAAACACATATATATTACATGGTAAGTACGTATAGTATGTCCTAAGGTTGAAATAACAAATTATACATTTTAGGAGAGGGCTTTTATAGGCTTTGCCTGTTGCCCAATTCCTTTTGTATGTAAAGACCTATACAAAAAATGTTCTGAAATGAAAAGAAAATAACAAATTATATGCTTCATATATAGTAAAAGAAAAAGAAAAGTGTTGAACATAATTTAAGTTAATATGTAAAAAAAAAATATGAACTGCTGAAAGCTTGATACAAAATTATGGTGTTCACTTTTCAACCAGGAAACTGATGCTGCATTCAATACCTGAAACCATTGAAAACTAGATCTGTGAAATTGACCATGGGATTACGAAAAACCGTTATGGATTGTTTTATGTTTCAGCAAATGTTGTACCCTCATGTGCCAAGTGATGTAGCGCTTAGTTTCTATGTTCATTCCTCAAAGTTGGTCCTGGCTTTGTATCACCTTCATTTGAACGGTCAGCAGCGAATGGACATCACGTCCAGGAATCAGGTGAGTTTTCCAGACACAAGTGTCCAGTCCTCCAGGAGACTTACTTGGAGTACACTATCCGCCATCATGTACCACCCATCAACTTCCCTGATTTTCTCCGTGATGGAATGTTTTGTCATGTAAATATTACAAAGTTTTAAACTACAGTGATGTAAATGTAAACCAAATCATCAGTATCATCAGTAGATCACTGATTTTTCTGTCCTCATTTGCCAAGACTTTATTTTATTGCACCCAGGCGATGGTGCTATCGTGTTGAACATTTAAGTACCTTGGTAGGCCTTTTCTCCCCATTTGACAGAGATATCCACACTTGCGGTCAGGGAAAGATATCTCTGTCTTACTCTATAGGGTAAAGACAGGGGGAATTGAAACTATGAAATAAACAATTGCATTTTATGAAACTACCACTTGTGTTGGACGTGGGAGAAAAATAATCATTCCCCAACTTAATCATCAACTTAAACCTCATGCGGTTGGTTTATGAAATGTTTCAGGTTGAGTGTACTATACAGTGGTTAAATGAAGCGGTGATGTTGTTTACTCTTGCCCTCCAGAAGTGCCAGCAACTCAAAGATAAGGTAGGCATTACATACAAACTAAGAACAGTATACTGAGAAATGTCCGCCTATTTTGTCAGCCTTAATTAATGAGGGCGAATTTATCGTTATAGCAACCATATGTAAACAACATAATATACGTAGTAATTAAAGGTGAAAGGTGAATTTAATATTAGGCATAAACAGATTTTACTGTTGAAAAGCTAAATTTGACGGGGCAAAAACATTTCACATATACAGTATTTAGAACAGGGGTTTTCAGACTTATTACATTGTATTAATTTAAATGCCAACAGTTTCCTGGTGTCAATTATGACCATTTTACAAACATAGTAGGATAAGTGACTTTTAGGAGACAAAACCCTATACCAGTAGTCTAGCTGTGTACTACCTCTTGTGATAACTGTGTACCACCTCTTGTGATAGCTGTGTCCCACCTCTTGTGATAGCGGTGTACCACCGTTTGTAATCGCTGTGTACCACCTCTTGTGATGGCAGTGTACCACCTCTTGTGATAGCGGTGGACCACCTCTTGTGATAGCTGTTTACCACCTCTTGTGATAGCTGTGTACCTCCTCTTGTGATAGCGATGTACCACCTCTCGTGATACCTGTGTACCACCTCTTGTGATATCCGTGTACCACCTCTCGAGATAGCGGGGTACCACCTCTTGTGATAGCTGTGTCCCACCTCTTGTGATAGCGGTGTACCGCCTCTTGTGATAGCAGTGTACCACCTCTTATGATAGCAGTGTACCACCTCTTGTGGTACACTGCTATCACAAGAGGTGGGACACTGCTATCATAAGAGGTGGTACACGGCTATCATAAGAGGTGGTACACAGCTATCACAAAAGGTGGTACGCCGCTATCACAAGAGGTGGTACACAATTATCACAAGAGGTAGTACACTGCTATCACAAGAGGTGGTAGCAGTGTACCACCTCTTGTGATAACTGTGTACCACCTCTTTTGATAGCTGTGTACCACCTCTTGTGCCTCTTGTGATAGCCGTGTACCACCTCTTGTGATAGCAGTGTCCCACCTCTTGTGATAGCAGTGTACCGCCTCTTGTGATAACTGTGTACCACCTCTTGTGATATCCGTGTACCACCTCTCCTGATAGCGGGGTACCACCTCTTGTGATAGCAGTGTCCCACCTCTTGTGATAGCTGTGTACCCCCTCTTGTGATAACTGTGTACCACCTCTTGTGTTAGCTGTGTACCACCTCTTGTGATACCGGTGTACCACCTCGCGTGATAGCTGTGTACCACCTCTTGTGCCTCTTGTGATAGCCGTGTACCACCTCTTGTGATAGCAGGGTACCACCTCTTGTGATAGCAGTGTCCCACCTCTTGTGATAGCTGTGTACCTCCTCTTGTGATAGCGATGTACCACCTCTCGTGATAACTGTGTACCACCTCTTTTGATAGCTGTGTACCACCTCTTGTGATGGCAGTGTACCACCTCTTGTGATAGCAGCGTACCACCTCTTGTGATAGCAGTGTCCCACCTCTTGTGATAGCTGTGTACCTCCTCTTGTGATAGCGGTGTACCACCTTTTGTAATCTCTGTGTACCTCCTCTTGTGATAGCGATGTACCACCTCTCGTGATAACTGTGTACCACCTCTTTTGATAGCTGTGTACCACCTCTTGTGAATATATCTCTGTCAGTACAGAAGCATCTACCACCTCTTGTGATAGCTGTGTATCAGCTCTTGTGATAGCTGTGTACCACCTCTTGTTATAGCGGTGTACCACCTTTTGTAATCTCTGTGTACCTCCTCTTGTGATAGCGATGTACCACCTCTCGTGATACCTGTGTACCACCTCTTGTGATATCCGTGTACCACCTCTCCTGATAGCGGGGTACCACCTCTTGTGATAGCAGTGTCCCACCTCTTGTGATAGCTGTGTACCACCTCGCGTGATAGCTGTGTACCACCTCTGGTGATAGCAGTGTACCACCTCTTGTGATAGCAGCGTACCACCTCTTGTGATAGCAGTGTACTACCTCTTGTGATAATTGTGTACCACCTCTTGAGATAGCGGTGTACTACCTTTTGTAATCGCTGTGTACCACCTCTTGTGATAGCGGTGGACCACCTCTTATGATAACAGAGTACCACCTCTTATGATAACAGTGTACCCCCTCTTGTGATAGCTGTGTACCACCTCGCGTGATAGCTGTGTACCACCTCTTGTTATAGCGGTGTACCACCTTTTGTAATCTCTGTGTACCTCCTCTTGTGATAGCGGTGTACCACCTCGCGTGATAGCTGTGTTCCACCTCTTGTGATAGCAGTGTACCCCCTCTTGTGATAGCAGTGTACCACCTCTTATGATAGCAGTCTACCACCTCTTATGATAACAGTGTACCACCTCTTGTGATAGCTGTGCACCACCTCTTGTGATAACTGTGTACCCCCTCTTGTGATAGCTGTGTACCACCTCTTGAGATAGCGGTGTACTACCTTTTGTAATCGCTGTGTACCACCTCTTGTGATGGCAGTGTACCACCTCTTGTGATAGCTGTGTACCACCTCTTGTGATAGCGGTGTACCACCTCGCGTGATAGCTGTGTACCACCTCTTGTGATAGCAGTGTACCATGTGATAGTTGTGTACCACCTCTTGTGATAACTGTGTACCACCTCTTGTGATAGCTGTGTACCACCTCGCGTGATAGCTGTGTACCACCTCTTGTGATAACTGTGTACCACCTCTTGTGATAGCAGTGTACCACCTCTTGTGATAATTGTGTACCACCTCTTGTGATAGCGGTGTACCACCTCTTGTGATAGCTGTGTACCACCTCTTGTGAATATATCTCTGTCAGTACAGAAGCATCTCTTAACTCAATTCTTGATTATTTTTCAAATGTACAGACACATTCGTTATTACATAGTAATCAACATTTTATGAATGGTGAAAATTGAAGACCACTGATATGTTTAGGCTTTTGTTTAGCTGCTATATATCTATTATATATATGTTGCCATATATATACATTACATGTACAATAATGCTTTTGTTTAAAGATTATTTCCACTTTTTGTCTCGGCAGCAAAAAATAACTTTATGACTTTCCATATCATAACAATTGAATGTAAGATGTCATGTCAACAATAGCAGATCACCAGAGATAACTCCAATCTGCTGGAAATGATGTAATCAGCATTTTCATTTCATGAAATTCTCGGGTTAAGATTATTTAAGGTCTAAATTTCAACCATTGGGTAAAATTATTAAAGGTCTAGTCCTCGACAAAGCCTTTGGCTAGACATTAAAGAAGCTTACCCCTTGGGTTGGGAGTTTTCTGTATTAGTATTAATGTCTGTCTGTATGGCAACTTAGACTTTTATACTGTTAAGTCCACAAATTATCAATACCAACATGTGGAGTACATATACCACACTGTGACTTATGTTTGCTATTTTACTGACTTATGACATACTTTGTTCTAAGCTTAATTTCTTTGGTTAGACTTTGCATTTAGCTCTATCAAAGCAGAACAAATTAATATGTATATTTTACAAATATTTTCTAAATTTTTTATTTAATTTTTTCATTACAGATTGTTGTACTCCAGCAGTATGAAAAAGTGTTATGACGACGGCAGTTAGATTTAACACCACCACCACGTCACTGTACAAGTTTATACACAGGTGTATGATCATCCTTTATGTCCGGTCTACAGTGAATTGTAACAAAGTTATTTATAATCAGAACACATTTATAATTTGAAACATCAAGTAGTGTGTTAGTCATAAGAGAAATAATTCTGTCTCTGAAAAACATTCTGAAATTATGAACACTGAGAATTCTTTATAAGAGACTGTAGCATTCCTATGGTTTATGCGAGGGCCCAGTTTAGTTAAAAGTCTGATTACAGTAACAACAACTTAATATAACTTCAATCCAGTCCAAAAAATGTTAAAATTTGTAAATAAATTTACATATACAGGGATTCAAAATGACCCCCAAAAGGAACATAAAAAAAGCTGACAATCGTTAGTTTGCATTGTTTATTTATAAAAGTTGATTCACATGTATAATTTATGATACTGTACGTTATATAATTTAGTGGACACATGAAAAAAGGATGTGTTATTTTCATCATTTGGCAGAAAAATCCGAAATTGTGCAGTTTTAGCTCTTCTTACAGTTCGTTTATCGTGGAATGCTTTTTGCGCCACTTTTCACATTCCAACCTGGCTACAGGAGTGGGACACAGGTCTAAGGTTACGTTCTGTGTGTGTTACTTCCCCTACATTGTATAAATGTGTACCAGATCAAGCTGGGAAAGAATGCCTGTCTCATGTGTGCTGGTTACGCTTTAACACTGACCAAGAGATCTGTACTGGGGCCATTTAATTACTTTGGGGTCAATTAAAAGACATTGACAACAGTCATAGTAGAGGGCCTGTTATCAGCCATAACTATAAAGCATTATTATTGTTCTGTCTCAGTGTACTTTAAGCTATATAACCGACCAATGCATTCCAAATATGGTGGGACGTAGCCCAAGCTTCCTTTGGCCCTGACAACAGACTTTGATATCTTCATCTAGGTATCGGTCAAAATGTATAAGTCTGGCGTCGGGGCCAGAGAAAAGATATTTCTATCTATCTGTCAAAATGTCTAAATCTGGTGTCGGGGCCAGAGAAAAGATATTTTCATCTAGGTATCGGTCAAAATGTCTAAATCTAGTGTCGTGGCCAGAGAAAAGATATTTTTATCTGTCTGTCAAAATGTCTAAGTCTGGTGTCGGGGCCAGAGAAAAGATATTTTTATCTGTCTGTCAAAATGTCTAAATCTGGTGTCGGGGCCAGAGAAAAGATATTTTCATCTATCTGTCAAAATGACTAAGTCTGGTGTCGGGGCCAGAGAAAAGATATTTTCATTTTCATTCAGAGGAAACTCTGGCTAGGTGAAAGGCCATTAATCCAGACATTGAGTTTCTGAGAAAAAAAGAAAAGAAAAACTAAAGGTTGATGATATTCCACTGTAACTTATAAAACCTTAAAACTTTAATAAATCCTTTATGTTTTTACCAAATGGATGACTGTCTTAAGCCCTTTCACCCACCCCTATGTAACTTTAGTAGACTCTACCATGCATTGATATGGATGAGTCCATTATGGTCTACAGTGGTGAAAGGGTTAAAATAGATTGCTTTGTCCGGTGGATCTGTGACGATACTTTAGGTTACTTCTAAACGGCAGACAAGTTTAGATTTGTTTTGTTTATTCCACTGTACATCCACTGTATTAACCCCTTCTGTGCCTGTGACGTGTCATACACTTACTACTACAAGCTATGTTAATACAACGGTAAGCTTGTATATTTAATTTACTGGAAGATAGCAGGTAGTTGTAGCTACTAATATAATACATTTTGGTCATAATGAATATTTAAACTTCATTTTTTTTCCAAATATATTTGATATATAGGATCCCCGTACCACTGCCAAAAATTGTCACAAAGTGTTGGAAACTAATTTTTTTCAGCATGATTATAGCTTTGATAAATCATTTCCAAAAAGAAAACCATACCATGCCGGACATTTAAGAGAAATGATAAAGATGAAATAAACAAAATATTTGTCTTGTAGACAAAATAACACAAAACTTTTTATTTGAAATAATTAAGGGAAAATACATATATTGAAATTTAATACTGAATTAAATTGTTTTAGCAATTTGTATTGTCATTTGAAGACAAAAAGAAACTTTAATTTTCTCCAAATGTTTTAATTAACAACTCCTTAAGCTAACCATTTTGTATGACAGATCGTTGTTTATATTGTGGGATGTCATGGAAAACAGTTTAAATTTTTTTATAATAGATGCAGGATCATATAAAGAAATATTAAATGTTTAGTGCCATTGACATTTAATTGTCACGATATTTTTTATTTTTTTGGGGTTTTTTTTTTTTACATTTTCTGGTCAGGATAATATGGTCTGTTGAACATTGGTAATTTATTAGTGGGTCAGAGTGTAAGAAAGATGTTTGAATGATATTGACTCTACAGCCAAATATTAATATTTCATATTAAATCATGTATAGATTATCATCGTGGTAATTTGATATGTAAATTTTAAATGGGGTTTGACGATACCAAATTCAATATTTGTTTTATTATCCATAATCTTTTAACTGATTTCTATTTATTAATACCAGTCACCTAAATTCTAATAGCGCTCTTAATCAACACAATGAATGATATTATATCGTGTCTAGTCCCTGTGATTGTGATATTTGTTTATTCCAGGTAAAATAGTTTCCAAGTTAAGGGGTTCCACTGTATTGGTTCGGTGGGGAGGGGGAATATTCTTAGAAGAGTACATCTGTCTAACCATATACCCACTCTACTAGTGCTTGTATGACAGCCAGCTAAATTAACCCTTTCAACCCTATGTAACTTCAATTGACCCTACCATGCATTGATCTGGATGAGTATATTATGATGAAAGGGTTAAATCCAAAATGTAGTGCTCTTATGATTATATCTAATCAATATTGGATTTATTTAAATGAAAAGTGCATTAATTTTATGTGTATAGGTTTTTCTTGTTTCAATGTTATGCGTCCTTAAAAACAATTTATGTACCTTGTATATCTGCTTCATGAAATTGTATACACTATTGTTGTATACCAATCGTGTTACATTAACATGGAGTTCCTTGTATATAAATACGATATGTAAAGAATAGTATTGTTGTATGCATATCAAGGTACCACACAGACAGACTTTTTAGGCTCTCACCATATAATGGATGGTTCACCTTTTCCTTCGGTCTGTACTTATGTCCGTCCGTAACATATCTCGGTTAAACACTGCATTAGCTCCATTCTCTAATGCCAGAAGTCAGACAGTTATTTAAGTTCATTTTGAGATGCATATTCTTGGGTACTACATCAATATACCAAATGTAGGTCACTGTGACCTATATCTTCTCCATTGCTGACTTTGGTTAGACTTTGCTTTTAGCACCATTACTCCAATACTAGAAGTTGAACGGTACATGTAATCAAACATTATATGTTGATACATCTGGATTGAGAAGTATTTAACACACACAGGTGATGGCACCCTCAGAAATTTGGATATGATTACCGATTTGGATATTCATGTATATAGGTACAGTATACCATAAATGAATTGGAGCTGTTTCATCTTTTTGATTCATCAGTGATGCTTGGGGCCAAAAAGGTGGAAATCCAAATCGGTCTAAACCATAACACCAATATATATATTTTAAAAAAAAGGTCACTGTGACCTATATTCTTTGCTTCGTTGACTTTGTTTATAATTTGCTTTTAGCTCCATACCGATATTATGTATGTTTTAAAACGTCAATGGTAATTTTTCCGTGTATTTGTGCATGAACATGCATGAACATGCATGCATAAACCCTTATGGGTTATCTGTCATTGTATATATGTAAAATTTATGAAAATTCATCATTTATTCATGTGTAAATATGTATGGTATTTGGTCATACATTATGCCTATTGACGTATGGTTATTCATCGTGTAGGTAATATAATAACAAGGTACAGTGTTTTTTCAGTACTATTTACTATCATGAAAAGACAAATGTACATGCATATATTTATGTTACATGACTTTGTTTCTCTTGGTATCCATCATAAATGTAATGTAGTCCACACCAAGGTCCAACACTCGTGGACTACAGCGTACCACACCTACACCAAGGTCCAACACTCGTGGACTACAGCGTACCACACCAACACCAAGGTCCAACACTCGTGGACTACAGCGTACCACACCAACACCAAGGTCCAACACTCGTGGACTACAGCGTACCACACCAACACCAAGGTCCAACACTCGTGGACTACAGCGTACCACACCAACACCAAGGTCCAACACTCGTGGACTACAGCGTACCACACCAACACCAAGGTCCAACACTCGTGGACTACAGCGTACCACACCAACACCAAGGTCCAACACTCGTGGACTACAGCGTACCACACCAACACCAAGGTCCAACACTCGTGGACTACAGCGTACCACACCAACACCAAGGTCCAACACTCGTGGACTACAGCGTACCACACCAACACCAAGGTCCAACACTCGTGGACTACAGCGTACCACACCAACACCAAGGTCCAACACTCGTGGACTACAGCGTACCACACCAACACCAAGGTCCAACACTCGTGGACTACAGCGTACCACACCAACACCAAGGTCCAACACTCGTGGACTACAGCGTACCACACCAACACCAAGGTCCAACACTCGTGGACTACAGCGTACCACACCAACACCAAGGTCCAACACTCGTGGACTACAGCGTACCACACCAACACCAAGGTCCAACACTCGTGGACTACAGCGTACCACACCTACACCAAGGTCCAACACTCGTGGACTACAGCGTACCACACCTACACCAAGGTCCAACACTCGTGGACTACAGCGTACCACACCTACTTGATTTCTAAATAATCAACCTATAATCATCATTTTCGCAGACATTGAGAAGTACTTTATACAACTGGGTCTGAATGTAAACCCATTTAACCCTTTCACCCCTATGTAACTTTAGTAGACTCTACCATGCATTGATCTGGATGTGTCCATTATGATCTACAGTGATGAAAGGGTTGAAACAACATTTCTGCAGTTTTATAATTTGCATGCGTCGGTAAGAATTATGATTTAATATGCAGTTTTTACTACTTATAATATTATCTGGGGGGGGGGGGGGGGGGGGGGTTAGATTTTTTTTTCTGAAATATTTCATTTCAAAATCTTCATCCAACAGTTTGTTAAGCTGATCATTTCAAACAAATTAAGTTTAAAAGTTGAACTATTTACATAGGGATTTTAAATTGATCATGTGAAGACATATAGAATACAAAAATGTTCATAAATTTGCAAATAGGTGTACATCGTAAAAGTAACTTTTTGAAAATTTGTTTTGAACAACCTCGCCTTGGGCCAGAAATCAATGTGTTGTAGTTCTGTGTAATACACATTTTGAAGTTTTCTTTTCATCCTCGGGCCAAATTATCTTGTCTTAATTTCAGAATGTGCCATACAATAGAAAGAGAGCTATGAAAATCATGTTCTGTATTGCTTCAGAATATCTTAACTAGAATTGTTTAAGTATTAAAGTTGTTGGTTAAAATATTAAAGTTGTTGGTTAAAATACTGTATCAGTTTTTAACATTTTGCTGGACATTTGAGGACCAAAAAGAATTTTAGCGTATTTTTAGGTCACCTGAGCTTTGCTCAAGTGACCTATTCCAATCGCTTTTCGTCCATCGTCGTCCGTCGTCCGTCGTGCGTCGTGCGTAAACTTTTACATTTTCAACTTCTTCTCAAGAACCAGTGGATGGATTTTTTTCAAACTTGGTCAGAATCATCCTTGGTAGATGAGGCTTCAAAATTGTAAAATTGGGATTCCTACCCCCACCCCTGGGGCCAGGGCGGGGCCCCAAAGGGAAAATTAATCAATATTTCAAAAATCTTCTTCTCCAGACTCAGAGGTACTACAGTGATTTTCTCTACGTGGAAAGAAAGATCATCAGGGGCTTTACTTAAATTGTAAATTTCAGGACCCCCGAGCTATCCGTTCTCCCTTGGGGAGGGGGTAAAGTTTACTATAGTTTATATAGGGAAATAACACTTTTGGGTATATTTTGACAACTTTCTGTAGGAAATTATTTTTACTTGGTGAGAATTATCCTTGGAGGTAGATGGTTTCAAATTGTAAAATTGAGATTCCTACCCCGACCCCTGGGGCCAGGGCGGGGCCCCAAAGGGAAAATTAATCAATATTTCAAAAATCTTCTTCTCCAGACTCAGAGGTACTACAGTGATTTTCTCTACGTGGAAAGAAAGATCATCAGGGGCTTTACTTAAATTGTAAATTTCAGGACCCCCGAGCTATCCGTTCTCCCTTGGGGAGGGGGTAAAGTTTACTATAGTTTATATAGGGAAATAACACTTTTGGGTATATTTTGACAACTTTCTGTAGGAAATTATTTTTACTTGGTGAGAATTATCCTTGGAGGTAGATGGTTTCAAATTGTAAAATTGAGATTCCTACCCCGACCCCTGGGGCCAGGGCGGGGCCCCAAAGGGAAAATTAATCAATATTTCAAAAATCTTCTTCTCCAGACTCAGAGGTACTACAGTGATTTTCTCTACGTGGAAAGAAAGATCATCAGGGGCTTTACTTAAATTGTAAATTTCAGGACCCCCGAGCTATCCGTTCTCCCTTGGGGAGGGGGTAAAGTTTACTATAGTTTATATAGGGAAATAACACTTTTGGGTATATTTTGACAACTTTCTGTAGGAAATTATTTTTACTTGGTGAGAATTATCCTTGGAGGTAGATGGTTTCAAATTGTAAAATTGAGATTCCTACCCCGACCCCTGGGGCCAGGGCGGGGCCCCAAAGGGAAAATTAATCAATATTTCAAAAATCTTCTTCTCCAGACTCAGAGGTACTACAGTGATTTTCTCTACGTGGAAAGAAAGATCATCAGGGGCTTTACTTAAATTGTAAATTTCAGGACCCCCGAGCTATCCGTTCTCCCTTGGGGAGGGGGTAAAGTTTACTATAGTTTATATAGGGAAATAACACTTTTGGGTATATTTTGACAACTTTCTGTAGGAAATTATTTTTACTTGGTGAGAATTATCCTTGGAGGTAGATGGTTTCAAATTGTAAAATTGAGATTCCTACCCCGACCCCTGGGGCCAGGGCGGGGCCCCAAAGGGAAAATTAATCAATATTTCAAAAATCTTCTTCTCCAGACTCAGAGGTACTACAGTGATTTTCTCTACGTGGAAAGAAAGATCATCAGGGGCTTTACTTAAATTGTAAATTTCAGGACCCCCGAGCTATCCGTTCTCCCTTGGGGAGGGGGTAAAGTTTACTATAGTTTATATAGGGAAATAACACTTTTGGGTATATTTTGACAACTTTCTGTAGGAAATTATTTTTACTTGGTGAGAATTATCCTTGGAGGTAGATGGTTTCAAATTGTAAAATTGAGATTCCTACCCCGACCCCTGGGGCCAGGGCGGGGCCCCAAAGGGAAAATTAATCAATATTTCAAAAATCTTCTTCTCCAGACTCAGAGGTACTACAGTGATTTTCTCTACGTGGAAAGAAAGATCATCAGGGGCTTTACTTAAATTGTAAATTTCAGGACCCCCGAGCTATCCGTTCTCCCTTGGGGAGGGGGTAAAGTTTACTATAGTTTATATAGGGAAATAACACTTTTGGGTATATTTTGACAACTTTCTGTAGGAAATTATTTTTACTTGGTGAGAATTATCCTTGGAGGTAGATGGTTTCAAATTGTAAAATTGAGATTCCTACCCCGACCCCTGGGGCCAGGGCGGGGCCCCAAAGGGAAAATTAATCAATATTTCAAAAATCTTCTTCTCCAGACTCAGAGGTACTACAGTGATTTTCTCTACGTGGAAAGAAAGATCATCAGGGGCTTTACTTAAATTGTAAATTTCAGGACCCCCGAGCTATCCGTTCTCCCTTGGGGAGGGGGTAAAGTTTACTATAGTTTATATAGGGAAATAACACTTTTGGGTATATTTTGACAACTTTCTGTAGGAAATTATTTTTACTTGGTGAGAATTATCCTTGGAGGTAGATGGTTTCAAATTGTAAAATTGAGATTCCTACCCCGACCCCTGGGGCCAGGGCGGGGCCCCAAAGGGAAAATTAATCAATATTTCAAAAATCTTCTTCTCCAGACTCAGAGGTACTACAGTGATTTTCTTTACGTGGAAAGAAAGATCATCAGGGGCTTTATTTAAATTGAAAATATCAGGACCCCGAGCTATCCGTTCTCCCTTGGGGAGGGGTTAACGTTTAATATAGTTTATATAGGGAAATAACACTTTTCGGTATATATTTTATCCATTTTCAGCAGAAAATTGCTCAAACTTAGTCAGAATCATCTTGGGTAAATGAGAGTTTTACTTTGTAAAATTAGGATTCCTGCCCCATCCCCAGGGGCTAGAGCGGGGCCCCAAAGGGAACATTTACCAATATTTTCAAATTCTTATCCATTGATGACATGACAAGTATTGTATTTCACTTAGTTTACATGCTGATTTCCACATCACATCTAAACAATAAAATAAAGCTACCAGTATCTATGATATAACTCAGGTGACCGCTAAGGCCCTTGGGCCTCTTGTTCTGTATTAGAGGCCAGAGAATCTTCGAAAATATGTTACAATGATGGATTGTAAGTAACCTCATCTTCAAAATCCATGGGTTCTGCTCATATAGAGAAGACAGGTATATCAGGAGTGGAGCCTTTGGAATTTTGGAGATGAGGTATAAACGTTATGAATGAAAAGCATTTCATCATTTGGTAACTACACGTTGTTCCATCACATAAATGTTATTTGAGTTGATAAATGACAAACTGAGCAAGACTAGCTCAATACGTTTGTAATCACAATAGCCAAATGGAATTGTAAAGCTGTATTTAAATTTTTTGATACCAACTAGTAAGTTATTGTCTAGATGGTTATCAAATGTACTGATAGAGGTACATCAGAGTTAGGTAAACTGATAAGTTATCTAACCAGCTGAATATACATGTAACGCTGACTAAAAGGTTTATGTCATATAGGTTACTGTTGATGATCAAATCAGATGATCAAGTTCGACGACATTTTCTCCCACCCTTCACAGGTGTGTCTCCCGTTTTAGTCGGGAATAATCAGCTTGTCACCCCCTAGGGGGAAATAGCCTCATGCCGATTAGCATGTGTTCAATTGTGACGTCATTAAAATGCTTCATCGGTAATTGTGACGTCATCAAAAGTGAATGACGTAATGTATACCCCACATGTGTTTTTTGTTTACAAACATTGCAGACTACTGTCGGTGGAGCTGTGACTGAAATATATATATATACTGTCTGTCTATTATAGAATAATAGTTCTTGGAAACAGGGCAAAATTTATACTGTGTTAAATTTCTGTATAAGAATAATAGTCCTGGGAATGGGACAAAATATCTACTGTGTTTATGTATAAGAATAATAGTCCTGGGAATGGGACAAAATATATACTGTGTTTCTGTTATAGAATAATTGTTCCAGGAAAATGGGACAAAACATATACTGGGTTTCTGTTATAGAATAATTGTCTTGGGGAAAATGGGACAAAATTTATGCTGGGTTTCTGTTATAGAATAATTGTCCCCGGAAAATGGAACAAAATATGATACATATTGAGGTTGATTTTATCACTTATAAAATATAGAGCTATGTCTACAATTCAGTGTATTCTTTATAAAAACGATTGTTGAAGCAGCTTGACATCAATATTATTTTTTCAGTGTAGTTAGCTATAGTGAAGCTCCATCAAACAGTCTGCATGTATATATGTTACTTTGTTTCTACTAGAAAGGTCCCAGTTTATTAGCTCTCGCACCATCTGTTTATTGGCAGAGAAGTTGTTCCAGCTCTCCTTCCATCTGTTTATTGGCAGAGAAGTTGTTCCAGCTCTCGCACCATCAGTTTATTGGCAGAGAAGTTGTTCCAGCTCTCGCACCATCAGTTTATTGGCAGAGAAGTTGTTCCAGCTCTCGCACCATCTGTTTATTGGCAGAGAAGTTGTTCCAGCTCTCGCACCATCTGTTTATTGGCAGAGAAGTTGTTCCAGCTCTCGCACCATCTGTTTATTGGCAGAGAAGTTGTTCCAGCTCTCGCACCATCTGTTTATTGGCAGAGAAGTTGTTCCAGCTCTCGCACCATCTGTTTATTGGCAGAGAAGTTGTTCCAGCTCTCGCACCATCAGTTTATTGGCAGAGAAGTTGTTCCAGCTCTCGCACCATCTGTTTATTGGCAGAGAAGTTGTTCCAGCTCTCGCACCATCTGTTTATTGGCAGAGAAGTTGTTCCAGCTCTCGCACCATCTGTTTATTGGCAGAGAAGTTGTTCCAGCTCTCGCACCATCTGTTTATTGGCAGAGAAGTTGTTCCAGCTCTCGCACCATCTGTTTATTGGCAGAGAAGTTGTTCCAGCTCTCGCACCATCTGTTTATTGGCAGAGAAGTTGTTCCAGCTCTCGCACCATCTGTTTATTGGCAGAGAAGTTGTTCCAGCTCTCGCACCATCTGTTTATTGGCAGAGAAGTTGTTCCAGCTCTCGCACCATCTGTTTATTGGCAGAGAAGTTGTTCCAGCTCTCGCACCATCTGTTTATTGGCAGAGAAGTTGTTCCAGCTCTCGCACCATCAGTTTATTGGCAGAGAAGTTGTTCCAGCTCTCGCACCATCTGTTTATTGGCAGAGAAGTTGTTCCAGCTCTCGCACCATCTGTTTATTGGCAGAGAAGTTGTTCCAGCTCTCGCACCATCAGTTTATTGGCAGAGAAGTTGTTCCAGCTCTCGCACCATCTGTTTATTGGCAGAGAAGTTGTTCCAGCTCTCGCACCATCTGTTTATTGGCAGAGAAGTTGTTCCAGCTCTCGCACCATCTATTTATTGGCAGAGAAGTTGTTCCAGCTCTCCCACCATCTGTTTATTGGCAGAGAAGTTGGAGAACAATCTGTTGACTAACTGGTTCCATTACAGTAAAACCTCATTATACTGCCACCATTTGTCCAGAGACATTTTGGCGTTATAAAGGGATTCGGCAGTTAATTCAGGGAAATGCATGTGGGAGTTCTTAAGAAATATATTTATATACTTTATTTATTTTTACAACAATTATGAAACAAGTTATTTCAACTTGCATTTTTCACTCTTGTTGGAAATATGTTAGCGGTAAACGAGGTTTCAAATGAAATGAAGGCATTATAATGAGGTTTTACTGTACAGGTACTTTAAAAACGAATCCTGAACTGAGGAATGTGCAAACTTAAACATAGCACCCTTTGACTTATGTTTCTTCATTCACAATTTAAAACGTATGTGATACTTACATTTTACAAGTGGTGAGCATTTATAATTAGAAACCATGAATTGATGAAAATGGAATAATACAATTTAGGTGTTCAGCAATATCAATTAGCATTTGTGTCACCTTGGACATGGCTACAGTTGGTAAATAAAGTGATCCATTGTATTGATAGAATTATACCATTAATGGCTAAATGTTTGATATTTCAATAAATATATTTATTTATTAGTTTCATACTCATCTGTAGTTTTACAGTGGTCTGAAATTTTGTCAATTCATAGTAATAGTAATATCAAAAATAGTATTGTAGGATTTTTAAATTACTATTATTATTAATTATTGACAGACTTTTGGACTCCTGTGGCAGTCTTTAAATCAGATTTACTCATTCACCCCTGAAGACATATTTAAACTCTTCCAATTCAAAGGTTGGAATAGTTCATTATGAAATTTCAGGGGTGGATGAGTTAAGGAAATTACAATTTTCTGAAGAATAAAACTATTTAAATATTCATGTGTATGAATGACAAAATGAGTATACGATGTTGAAAAGATGAGTTAATATATAGGGCGTACTGGTTCAATTTAACACAAGCAGAACTACATATTCCTGGATTAAGTCAAAGTGTTATTGTGATATCTAGATACAGCTTGTGTTTTAATAACAAAAATTGTTAATTGAAATGTGTTAATGCTGTTTAACTATTGTGCTGATCGTGATGGTTTTGTATTGGAATAAAACGGTATCGACAGTTTCTACTGTGTATGTTTTAGTATATAGCCGGGCTCGTGACCGAAGGGTTGCGGGTTCGAGACACGTCACGGCACTGTGTTGTATCCTTGAGCAAGATACTTTACTCCGCTTGTTCCAGTCTACTTAGCTATGAATGAGTACGTGGTTGGGCAGTGCTAGAATTGTTGAATGCTAGCTGTGAGCACCGAAATGGCAGCACCGGCCTGTATGCTCCCGAGGGAGTTGAGAAAGGTATTGGCTGGTTGCAAAGGCCCTATAACAATGGATAATACTGTGTGAACCGCTTTGAGACAACCTATGTAAGAACCTCGAATTATTATTAGTAGTAGTCGTAGTGTTTATGTGGCTCAGGACACCAAGACTTCGCATTTTGGAATCCCTAATTTGTGTGCAATGGAGTGGAATTCGATTTTTAGGTCACCTGAGACAAAGTCTCAAGTGACCTATTGCGATCGCCTTTTGTCCGTCGTCGTCCGTCGTGCGTCCGTAAACAATTTACATTTTCGACTTCTTCTCCAAATCCTCTGAACCTGTATAAATATATCAGGTGACCGTTAAGGCCCATGGGCCTCTTGTTAATCTTGCAATTTTCTTTGTGCTTTTTATCTCATAGTAAATGAAGAAATGTCACAGAGACATGTACAAATGGAGAAGGCTGTGAAGATGCCAATCAAAGTAAACTCCGACCCCTCAAGACCGCTTTGCAACCTAAGCTGAGAAAGCGTAGGTGTCGAAATGGTCTAGAGAGGTCTGATTTTAATTAGACTATAAAGATGTACGAGTATCGCACCAAGTACAAGATTTATGTAACCAGACATAACGCCTCCATTGCTTTTGATTAATTAAACGTTTCTGATCACAGGGATATGAGAATTATAGACATGGCATTTTGAAACCGTTCTTGATGTGAACGAAGTATTATTACAATTACTGCAGACGTTTTCAAGGTTGAGACCAACCCTTGACAATAATGTGGTATCTTTGCGGTTGTTCATTTAATTGTATATATCCCGAAAACTGTTTCATAATTTTACCTACACACCAGAAAGTATATAAAAACAAGGCAAACAATCTATTAGTCCCCTACCGTTAGTGTTTGTTCTTTACCAAACTGTTCACCTATCTTAGGATCAGCATGCAATAAAGAAAGTATCTTGATACAGAATACGGCTTTTTTTCATTGATGACAGTCAGAGGTTTAACATCAAACTCACAGCGTTTTTCTTCTGGCACAGTTAATTCCGTCTCTCGGGGATCTTTCTGCATACCAAATGGTGCTCCTACCTTTTTATCACTCCGGTATCATATACCTTTATATCAATTAGGTTAATCCTGATGAAATAGTGAAGAAGATACGCCCTAGAAAAAAAGGGTAAGGTAAAAGCAAAGGTCACAGTGACCGCCTTCTTGTACTCTGCACTCCGCCATCCAAAGTTGTACAAACATACAAGATCGGGTTAATCCTGGTGAAATAATGCATGGGATGGGCTCTGGACAAACTCTTTCAATGGCTGAGGTCAGGGGTCAAAGCCAATATCACAGTGACCTACCTTACGTACACTGCACTCCACCATCAGCATTTGGTTAATCTTGGTGAAATATTATATAAAATATGCCGCATTATTTTTTAATTTAGGTAAAAGCATAGGGAATCTGCTTCTCTTAATCTGCACTCCGCGATCTCATGATGTACTTGCATACCAAATCTGGTTAGGACCTAGCTACTCCAGGTGAAATTATATAGAATTGTATGCCCCAGACATTTTTTTTTCAAATGTAACTAGTTCGCGAAGTCACAGTGACCTACTTCTTTTGCTCTGCACTCCACCATCCCAGGATATATTTGCACAAAAGTGGACGGGCGGAGTGAAAACCTATAGTCACCGGTGGGGGACTAAATATCAGGCCACAGTGTTCCTGACCAGCGATACAGACAAAAATCAACTAATTAACTTGGAGATTTTCCAACGTTGACTAAACAAACTCTCCGTTTTTCTTGGCACGTGCATGTGTTTGCCGATATGAATCACAGAGTTAGTATAGATATACAATAGATTTGTTGACTTACCGACCTGTGATGGCGCCTTCTGTTTTCCTTTGCCTTGTTCTCAGTTCATAACACGGGAAAGGGTTTATCGGAACCCTTTCGGGACTGAAAGAAAGCAACGAGAGTTGTGTGCGTTAATTACACGGCTCTAAAACAGCACATGGTAATTTGTGGCTAGAACCCTTTTGTAGAAACCATCACTAATTAACNGAGCTACATAGAGGAAACCATAGAACGGTAAGCATCATCTACATAGAGGAAACCATAGAACCGTAAGCGTCATGTACCTAGAGGAAACCATAGAACGGTAAGCGTCATCTACCTAGAGGAAACCATAGAACGGTAAGTGTCGTCTACTTAGAGGGACCATAGAACGGTAAGCGTCGTCTACCTAGAGGAAACCATAGAACGGTAAGCGTCATCTATATGGAGGAAAACATGGAACGGTTAACTTAGCTACCTAGAGGAAACCATAGAACGGTAAGCGNGCAATTTTCTTTGTGCTTTTTATCTCATAGTAAATGAAGAAATGTCACAGAGACATGTACAAATGGAGAAGGCTGTGAAGATGCCAATCAAAGTAAACTCCGACCCCTCAAGACCGCTTTGCAACCTAAGCTGAGAAAGCGTAGGTGTCGAAATGGTCTAGAGAGGTCTGATTTTAATTAGACTATAAAGATGTACGAGTATCGCACCAAGTACAAGATTTATGTAACCAGACATAACGCCTCCATTGCTTTTGATTAATTAAACGTTTCTGATCACAGGGATATGAGAATTATAGACATGGCATTTTGAAACCGTTCTTGATGTGAACGAAGTATTATTACAATTACTGCAGACGTTTTCAAGGTTGAGACCAACCCTTGACAATAATGTGGTATCTTTGCGGTTGTTCATTTAATTGTATATATCCCGAAAACTGTTTCATAATTTTACCTACACACCAGAAAGTATATAAAAACAAGGCAAACAATCTATTAGTCCCCTACCGTTAGTGTTTGTTCTTTACCAAACTGTTCACCTATCTTAGGATCAGCATGCAATAAAGAAAGTATCTTGATACAGAATACGGCTTTTTTTCATTGATGACAGTCAGAGGTTTAACATCAAACTCACAGCGTTTTTCTTCTGGCACAGTTAATTCCGTCTCTCGGGGATCTTTCTGCATACCAAATGGTGCTCCTACCTTTTTATCACTCCGGTATCATATACCTTTATATCAATTAGGTTAATCCTGATGAAATAGTGAAGAAGATACGCCCTAGAAAAAAAGGGTAAGGTAAAAGCAAAGGTCACAGTGACCGCCTTCTTGTACTCTGCACTCCGCCATCCAAAGTTGTACAAACATACAAGATCGGGTTAATCCTGGTGAAATAATGCATGGGATGGGCTCTGGACAAACTCTTTCAATGGCTGAGGTCAGGGGTCAAAGCCAATATCACAGTGACCTACCTTACGTACACTGCACTCCACCATCAGCATTTGGTTAATCTTGGTGAAATATTATATAAAATATGCCGCATTATTTTTTAATTTAGGTAAAAGCATAGGGAATCTGCTTCTCTTAATCTGCACTCCGCGATCTCATGATGTACTTGCATACCAAATCTGGTTAGGACCTAGCTACTCCAGGTGAAATTATATAGAATTGTATGCCCCAGACATTTTTTTTTCAAATGTAACTAGTTCGCGAAGTCACAGTGACCTACTTCTTTTGCTCTGCACTCCACCATCCCAGGATATATTTGCACAAAAGTGGACGGGCGGAGTGAAAACCTATAGTCACCGGTGGGGGACTAAATATCAGGCCACAGTGTTCCTGACCAGCGATACAGACAAAAATCAACTAATTAACTTGGAGATTTTCCAACGTTGACTAAACAAACTCTCCGTTTTTCTTGGCACGTGCATGTGTTTGCCGATATGAATCACAGAGTTAGTATAGATATACAATAGATTTGTTGACTTACCGACCTGTGATGGCGCCTTCTGTTTTCCTTTGCCTTGTTCTCAGTTCATAACACGGGAAAGGGTTTATCGGAACCCTTTCGGGACTGAAAGAAAGCAACGAGAGTTGTGTGCGTTAATTACACGGCTCTAAAACAGCACATGGTAATTTGTGGCTAGAACCCTTTTGTAGAAACCATCACTAATTAACACCCTGAGAGAAAGCAATAATCACCAATAATATGAGAGAAAGCAAGCTCCAACACCCTGAAAGAAAATAATTACCAACGACCTGAAAGAAAGCAATTATCAATAAACATAAGAAAAAGTAATCACCAACATCCCGAGCAAAAAGCAACCTAGCTATGTCTCCAAGGCCAAAATTAGCAGGAAACACAGAAGAGTAAGGTAAACCCGTGATTCGAACACGTAATCGATGAAACCAATGAACTACGAACAAACAACAAAGGAAAAAGATAAGCGCCATCTACAAAGGGGAAACCACAGAACGGTAGGCGTCATCTACATAGAGGAAACCATAGAACGGTAAGCGTCATCTACGTAGAGGGACCATAGAACGGTAACCGCCATCTACATAAAGGGAACCATAGAACGGTAAGCGTGTTCTGCATGGAGGAAACCATAGAACGGTAAATGTCATCTATATAGAGAAAACCATAAAACGGTAAGCGGCATCCACATAGAGGGAACCATAGAACAGTTAACTCAGCTACATAGAGGAAACCATAGAATGGTAAGCGTCATCTACATAGACAAAACCATAGAACGGTGAACGTCTTCTACATAGAGGGAACAATATAACGGTAACCGGCATCTACATAGAGGGAACCATAAAACGGTAAGCGTCATCTACATGGAGGGAACCATAGAACGGTAAACGTCATCTATATAAGGAAACCATAGAACGGTAAGCGGCATCTACAAAGAGAAACCCATAGCACGGTAAGCGTCATCTACATATAGGGAACCATATAACGGTAACCGCCATCTACATAGACAAAACCATAGAACGGTGAACGTCATCAGCATGGACGGTAAGCGTCATCTACATAGTGGGAACCATAGAACGGTAAGCTATATATACATAGAGGGAACCATAGAAAGGTAAGCGGCATCTACAAAGACAAAACCATAGAACGGTGAACGTCTTCTACATAGAGGGAACAATATAACGGTAACCGGCATCTACATAGAGGGAACCATAGACCGGTAAGCGTCATCAACATAAAGGGAACCATAGAACGGTGAACGTCATCAGCATGGACGGTAAGCGTCATCTACATATAGGGAACCATATAACGGTAACCGTCATCTACATAGACAAAACCATAGAACGGTGAACGTCTTCTACATAGAGGGAACAATATAACGGTAACCGGCATCTACATAGAGGGAACCATCGAACGGTGAACGTCATCTACATACAGGGAACCATAGAATGGTAAGCGTCATCTACATAGACAAAACCATAGAACGGTGAACGTCATCTTCATAGAGGGAACCATAGAACGGAAAGCGTCATCTACCACAGAACGGTAGGCGTCATCTACATAGAGGAAACCATAAACCGGTAAGCGGCATCTACATAGAGGGAACCATAAAACCGTAAGCGTCATCTACATAGAGGGACCCATAGAACGGTGAACGTCATCTGCATGGACGGTAAGCGTCATCTACAGAGAGGAAACCATAGAATGGTAAGCGTCATCTACATAGACAAAACCATAGAACGGTGAACGTCAGCTACATACAGGGAACCATAGAACGATAAGCGTCATCTACTAAGAGGAAACCATAGAACGTTAAGCGTCATCTACAAAGAGGAACCTATAGAACGGTAAGCGTCATCTATTTGGAGGTAAACATAGAACGGTTAACTTAGCTACCTAGAGGAAACCATAGAACGGAAAGCGTCATCTACCACAGAACGGTAGGCGTCATCTACATAGAGGAAACCAAAGAACGGTAAGCGTCATCAACATAAAGGGAACCATGGAACGTTAAGCGTCATCTGCATAGAGGAAACCAAAGAACGGTAAGCGTCATCAACATAAAGGGAACCATGGAACGTTAAGCGTCATCTGCATAGAGGAAACCATAGAACGATTAGCGTCATCTACATAGAGGGACCCATAGAACGGTGAACGTCATCTTCATACAGGGAACCATAGAACGGTGAGCGTCATCTACATAGAGGGACCATAGAACGGTAACCGTCATCTACATAGAGGGAACCATAGATCGGTGAGCGTTATCTACATAGAGGAATCCATAGAACGGTAAGCGTCATCAACATAAAGGGAACCATGGAACGTTAAGCGTCATCTGCATAGAGGAAACCATAGAACGGTGAGCGTCTTCTACATAGAGGGACCATATAACGGTAACCGTTATCTACATAGAGGGAACCATAGAACGGTGAGCGGTATCTACATAGAGGGCACCATAGACCGGTGAGCGGTATCTACATAGAGGAAACCATAGGACGGTACGAGTCATCTACATAGAGGAAACCAAAGAACGGTAAGCGTCATCAACATAAAGGGAACCATGGAACGTTAAGCGTCATCTGCATAGAGGAAACCAAAGAACGGTAAACGTCATCTATATAGAGAAAACCATAAAACGGTAAGCGGCATCCACATAGAGGGAACCATAGAACTGTAATCATCATCTACTTAGAGGGACCGTAGCACGGTAAGCGTTATCTACATAGAGGAATCCATAGAACGGTAAGCGTCATCAACATAAAGGGAACCATGGAACGTTAAGCGTCATCTGCATAGAGGAAACCATAGAACGGAAAGCGTCATCTACAAAGAGGAACCTATAGAACGGTAAGCGTCATCTATTTGGAGGTAAACATAGAACGGTTAACTTAGCTACCTAGAGGAAACCATAGAACGGAAAGCGTCATCTACAAAGAGGAACCTATAGAACGGTAAGCGTCATCTTCATAGAGGGACCATAGAACGGTAAGCGGCATCTACAAAGACAAAACCATAGAACGGTGAACGTCTTCTACATAGAGGGAACAATATAACGGTAACCGGCATCTACATAGAGGGAACCATATATCGGTAACCGTCATCTACATAGAGGGAATCATAGAACGGTAAGAGTCATCTACATAGCCTAGAGAATCATAGGGGAACCATAGAACGGTAAGCTATATATACATAGAGGGAACCATATAACGGTAACCCTCATCTTCATAGAGGGAATCATAGAACGGTAAGCGTCAACTACATAGCCTAGAGAATCATAGGGGAACCATAGAACGGTAAGCGGCATCTACATAGAGGGAACCATATAACGGTAACCGTCATCTACATAGAGGGAATCATAGAACGGTAAGCGTCATCTACATAGCCTAGAGAATCATAGAACGGTATAAGCGCCATCTACATAGTGGGAACCATAGAACGGTAAGCGTCATCTACATAGAGGGACCATAGAACGGTAACCGTCATCTACATAGAGGGAACCATAGAACGGTGAACGTCATCTGCATAGAAGGAACCATAGAACGGTGAACGTCATCTACATAGGGGGAACCATAGAACGGTAAGCGTCATCTGCATAAAGGGACCATATAACGGTAAGCGTCATCTACATAGAGGGAACCATAGAACGGTGAACGTCATCTACATAGAGGGAACCATATAACGGTAACCGTCATCTACATAGACAAAACCATAGAACGGTGAACGTCATCTTCATAGTGGGAACCATAGAACGGTAAGCGTCATCTACATAGCCTAGAGAATCATAGAACGGTATAAGCTCCATCTACATAGTGGGAACCATAGAACGGTGAACGTCATCTACATAGTGGGAACCATAGAACGGTAAGCGTCATCTGCATAGAGGGACCATATAACGGTAAGCGTCATCTACATAGAGGGAACCATAGAACGGTGAACGTCATCTACATCCAGGGAACCATAGAACGGTAAGCGACATCTGCATAGAGGGACCATAAACGGTAAGCGTCATCTACATAGAGGAAACCACAGAACGGTAAGCGTCATCTTCAAAGAGGAAACCATATTATGGTAAGCGTCATCTACATAGAGGGTACCATAGAACGGTGAACGTCATCTGCATAGAAGGAACCGTAGAACGGGGAACGTCATCTACATAGAGGGACCCATATAACGGTAACCGTCATCTACATAGGCAAAACCATAGAACGGTGAACGTCATCTACATAGTGGGAACCATAGAACGGTAAGCGTCTTATGCATAGAGGGAAATAGACGAGGATCTATGAAATTTTTGGGGGGGTGCGAAAATAGAAATAGAATCTATATGTCTATGTATATCAGAGACGTTTACATTGTATATATAGATATATGTAATGTATACGTCTCTGTGTATATCATTATTTTAATATAATATAAAAATATATAATATGATAACATTCAGAAATGTTAGAATGGTTAGATGAAATATTATTCAAATTCGAAATTTCATCATTATGATGTCTGTACATGAACTGAAAGCAGAGACCTAAAGTAAATTTAGGTCTATGCTGAAAGCGGGAACAGAAACCTGATGCAACTATTCCGGATATACAAGTCCGGTTACTTTTCCAATTTAGAAACATTCAAAATGGCTGCGCCCACAAAGCCCCACGGTCCAAGTAAGGACGGGGCACTGACAGACTTATCGTTAATAAATTTTACCAATGTGGTGGATGAAGTGTTAGGAGAAAAGAATGGAAATCGAAAATACCAAGCTCCTATTATTATTGGTGGCATACCCAGACTTCCAATGCACAAACAAGAGGTCAGGATCTCCAAGTTCTTCGAAAGTTGCAGCTTCAAATTTTGTGCCAGTGGGGTCATGGGTAAGATCTTCACTAATTATATATACATCATATCCTGATCATATATTGGAATACACATTCTATATCGATTCTGCTACTAGCTTTCATGTTAGGTGTATAAAGTTGATATGGCAGCACTTTTCAGTTAGTACCTTTTATATATGGGCCTACAGCGCTAGCACCAGACTATAACCAGGTGGTGATACAATTTGTCATTTTCACAAAAGTTTAGACAACTAAATTTATAATTTTTGTACTGAATTGTATTTTTTATTTGATTATGTTGAAAGAATGACGCCCTTTTTTGTTCATAATGTGTAAAAGATCTTTGTGTTTTTTTATTTCACTTTATTACCCATTTCAGTAATAACATTATTACTGAAATGTGTAACTAGTACTGTTACCCGAATGTAGGATGATTACCCATATGTGCCATTGTGCCCAACCTGATAACGTTAGTGACCGGTTGTTTTGCCGTTATAATCCACCTACTTGTGTTTTTAATTGATTGTCCTGACATCCCCAGACAATTATATTATATGGTCTAAGGCATATTAGTCTGTTTACCAATTTGTTATATGATTTGAAATTAAATTGTATTCCCAGCCTTCCAACATTTTATGCAAAATTGTATAAACTATTCATTTATCCAATATTCTGACCTATAGAAATAAAAAAAATAGGACTCAGTAATTGGAGTCCTGAACTCGTGATTTTCCTGTGTGACTCAACAACTGTGTGAGGACACATAATTACTGTATATGAGATTCATAAAAAAAAATGAGAAAAGAGATGTTCAGGCCTCGCCTGAAAAAAATTCTACCAAAATCACTGAGTCAGATTAACCAGCACACCAGTTCATCAAGAAATAGTATCTTATCTGTAGAAATATGTTTCATAGTACATTGTTTATATATATACGTGTAGTTGATCTGGACTGGTATGATCATCGGCATCAAGATAGCTCAATATTGGTAGAGGCCTATAGCTAGGGTCCATCTAAAACTTGGAGGGTCCTAGGATCAAATTCCAGTCTGGTTGTACATTTCTCTTTCTCCTGTTACAAAGTTGGCGAGCTTGACATCTTTTGTTCCAAGCAGTGATTAAATGCATGGCAAGGGGATACGCAAACCTAGGTTAAAGATAGTTGTGATTTCGGGGCAAAACTTAATAATAGGAGGGAGGAACATCAATGTAGCGGATCTGGACTGGGTCAATCGTCAGTGACCAGGCCAGGTAGCTCAATTGGTAGAGTGTCCGTCTAAAGTTTGGAGGGTCCCAGGTTTTATCTACTATACCACAACTAATAAACACTATGTATATATATAGGATCTTATAGGATCTGATGTATACATGAGGTTCTGTTTCATTTGAGATTCATGAAATGAAAAATGTGTGACGAGTTTCATCATATGAAATGAAAACAAGTGTAAGATCCCTTTTATCACATAATCAAGATTTGTGGCATTTATTTGTGTAAAACGACAATTTTCATGCAACCTTGAAATTTATAATCCGCCATTTTGACTCCAGTGCGTAAGTCTGTGACATCACGTACTTGTCCTAGGCGTGACGTCACAATTGAAACTTACAACCAATCACAGGGCGGATAGGTCATATTACTTGGGTTAATACGCAAAAAAAATGAAATGGGTATATTCTCTGGATAACACAGTAAAATAAAATAAAATACCTGGTATGAACTGAATTACATCCATCGTTACATCCTAACACAATGTGTTGGTGTGTTTCAGGGTTCGCCTTAGGAGGTGTTTTTGGACTGTTCACTTCGGCCATAGACCCAATGTCTACGATGTCTACAGAAACCCCAACTACAAAGATGGTGCTAAAGGAAATGAAAGCACGATCCTTGAGTTACGGGAAAAACTTTGCCATTATTGGAGCCATGTTTGCCACAACAGAATGTGTTATTGAATCAGTAAGTTACAGTACATGTCCTTGGAACCAGTGTAAAATGAACGTCACTTGGAGTGGGTTTTTTTTTTAAATAGACAAGGTTTTGGTTTTTAAGCTGGTGCACTATGAAATTTAACTGTAAATGTCTTCTTGTATATGTTTTTTGAAGAAATTCTTTTACAGATAAAAAGTCAGTTTTAATCTTGGTTGATTACTTTTAACATCACATATGTATGGATCATCGCAGAAGGAATTTCAATACCCCAGTTATTTTAGTTTAAACAGTATTTTATTCAATACCACACATGGGTTATAACAAACATGTGATTTCAGAAGGATTGCAAAACAAAGTTTTTAGCTTATATTAAGTTCTTTCACAGTATTAGTTTACAGTTTCCTTGAAGCCACATGACACTCCTAGGGCTAGATCTAGTGTGCTTGATTGGTGCTATCCATATATGGCATATTTGCAGGGTAAAATGTGTCCCAATCATTTGGATGCTTATCACTCAATCACAGTGGCGTTATTGATTTTCTTGTGCTAACTTTTACAGCCAAATTCTAGCAAAGATTTGCTTGATTTTTTCCAACACGAACAAAAAAATAAGAAATGTCTTCCCAATTCTAATAAAAAATATTGTTATATTTTCTCCAATTGTCAGTAGGCACAGGCTGTTGCAAAGTTTAGGTAGAAAAATCACTGCTGTTAATCATGTAACATAACTTGTTGTTGTATCTTTGATCTCTATATATGCATACCTTACAATCATGGTTTTATTTCCATGACCAAAACTTAAATGCAATTACCCTTAGTTCTAATTCCTCCAACCATTTGCCATTTCTGTTTCTCTTACACAGTACCGAGGGAAGACTGAACTTATCAATGGAACACTATCTGGTGGAATAGTTGGTGGTGTCCTTGGCATAAGAGGTAAGATACAAGGGAGATTATTTGAACACATTTAGTACAAATAGCGACCACAGTTCTGCATGTTACACATTATAAAAGGGAGATAATTTTTGATAATATGTCATATGTGTAAAATATATTTAACAAGGGAAATAAGTTTGCATATTTGTGAAATTTAAAAATGAATATTAATCTGGGATGTTTCATTCAATGCAAATCACTTTTAATGGAGAGTTAGTGGAACATATTGTACAAGGGAGATAACTTTTACAGAGAGTTCAAGGAAATTTTGTGCAAGGGAGATAACTTTTACAGAGAATTCATGGAACATTTTGTGCAAGGGAGATAACTTTTGATAGGAGGATATTTAAAGTACATGTACATGGAACATATTATACACGGGGGATAACTTCTGATACTCTAAATAGAAAACATTTGACTTCTCGCATGATAATGATACACATGTAAAATATTATTCAATGTAAATAACAACTCAAAAGTTAAAAGATCATGGTCAGACCAAACTGTTTTGGTATTTAAAATAGATTCCAGATGAATAAATACATTCATTTTACCATATTCACAGGATATTTGATTACCAATCAGGAAGGTTATTAGGTGAAATATTCATTATACATTGGGACTCTGGAGGGAGTGCTTTGCTGACAACTGATTCATTTATTAGTTTAAAAACCTGTTTTAGGGGGTACTTGAAAATAGCCCTTTCATTAAACTTACAAACACACAAGTAATTGAACATTTCCTGTGGTTTATTGAGATTTTCACATCTTCTTGATGCCAAACATTTTACAGTAGCAGCATGAGGGGTTGGAATTTTTAGCCCACCATCATCTGATGTTGGGCTATTCAAATCACCCTGCGTCCGTGGTCCGTCGTCTGTCTATCTGTCGTCCATCCTTAAAAAATTCTTGTTAACGCAATTTCTCAAGAAGATCCAGAGGGATCTTTCTTAAATTTTATATGTAGGTTCCCCTTCGTCCCTTGTTGTGCATGGCAACTTTTGAGACTGATCGGATGAACAACATGGCCGACAGGCAGCCATCTTGGATTTTGATAGTCAAGGTTTGTTATCGCTATTTCTGAGGAAGTACTGAAGGGATCTCTCAAATTTCATATGTAGGTTCCCTTTGGTCCTTAGTTGTGCAGGGCAACTTTTGAGACTGATCGGATAATTAACATGGCCGACAGGCAGCCATCTTGGATTTTGATATTGAAGGTTTGTATAATTATCACTATTTCTCAGGAAGTACCAGAGGAATCTTTTTCAAATTTTATGTGTAGGTTCCCCGAGGTCTGTAGTTGTGTAGGGCAGACAGGCAGTCATCTTGGATTATGATAGTGAAGGTTTGTTATCACTATTTCTTGGGAAGTACTGGAGAGGTTCATCTCAAATTATATATGTAGGTATCCCTCGGTTTGTAGTTTTCAGGCTGATCGGATATAGAAAATGACCGACAGGCCACCATCTTGGATTGTGACATTAAGGGTTTGTTATCACTATTCCTTAGAAAGAACTGGAGGGATCTTTCCAAAATATGTTATGTAGGCTCCCCTAGGTCTGTAGTCGTGCATGTTAAATTTTGAGACTGATCAGATAAACGAAATGGCTGACAGGCAGCCATCTTTGATTTTGACATTGAAGATTTGTTATTGCTGTTTCTCAATAAGTAGTCGAGTGATCTTTATCAAATCCTATATGTTGGTTCCCCTTGGTCCTTGTGCATATTTACTTGTGAGACTGATCAGATAAACAAAATGGCAGACAGGCTTCGATTTTTGACATTGAAGGTTTGTTAGTACTATTTCTCAGGAATAACTTTAAGGATCTTTATTAAATTCAATATGTAGGTTCCCCACGATCCCTCGTTGTGCATGTTATATTTTGAGACCGATCATAAAAACGAAATGGCTATAGGAAGAACTAAACAGATCTTTCTCATATTGCAATGATCAATTATATTTCTTTCACATTAAGTACTGTACTAGTAAATATGTGAAATGACAAACTCACTTTGAAGGTTGGCTTTCATACACATCAGTATTAAGTTTAGATCAAAAGTTACCTCAAGGTGCATTTACTGTTAACATGACTTGATCAAACAGATTAGAGAAAAGAAGAGAAAAGATCGAACTGACAAAGATGTAATGAAGATGGTACAATGGTGGGCATCTCTTGTTAAAGTTTAAGATGTGACTTACTTTCTGTACTTACTTATATATGACTGGTTTCTGTTTTCAGCGGGACTCAAAGCCGGAGTAATAGGATCTCTAGGATTTGCAGCCTTCTCAACAGCTATAGACTATTACATGAGACACATGTGATGAAATGATTATTCCTAGGATTTATATTCTAATCTTCATAACAGTTACTACATCGGACATGTGACACAACAATGGGGAAAGAGTTTCCTAAAATGAAAGCATATGGCTGCCATTTTGTTTTAGCTGGTGAAATGAAATTGGCATCATACCTAATCATGATTGCTATATATGCTGATGATGATAGACCATCATGAGATGGCTATATATTTTAGGAAGACACTTAAATTTTCTAAAATATTAATGGACATGGAACAAAACGCTTTACTCTCTAAGTGTTGAAGACATCTTTATGTGTACATGTATAAAGCTTTGAAAATGTCAAGTCTGTAATACTATCTGATAAGATATATTTTAAGTGTTTCCATCATTTCATTGGTTATTACGACTTACATCATTACATTGGTTACTTTGACTACCCTACCAAGTATTTCTATAAACACCCTGGTTACTATGGCTACCCAACCTGGTGTTTCTATTAACACATTGGTTACTATGACTACCTTACCATGTGTTCTTTTAACACATCGATTACTATGGCTACCTTACCAGGTGTTCTATTAACACATTGGTTACTATGACTACCCAATCAAGTGTTTCTATCAACACATTGGTTACTATGACTACCCTACCAAGTGTCTCTATCAAAACATTGGTTACTATGGTTTCCCTATCAAGTGTTCTATCAACACACTGGTTACTATGGCTACCTTATCAAGTGTTTCTATCGACACATTGGTTACTATGGCTACCTTACCAGGTGTTTATATCAACGCATTGGTTACTATGACTACCCAACCAAGTATTCTTATCAACACATTGGTTGCTATGTCTACCCAACCAAATGTTTCTTATCAACACATTGGTTACTATGACTACCTAACCAAGTGTTGTTATCAATACACTGGTTACTATGACTATCCAACCAAGTGTTGTTATCAACACATTGGTTACTATGACTACCCAATCAAGTGTTGTTATCAACACACTGGTTACTATGACTACCCAACCAGGTGATTTATAGTTATTTTGGTTGCTACAGTTTGGTTGGGGATATAATTAGAAACCACCAAATGTCCAAAATGTTTTAAATGTGAGCTCTGTGAGTAGAGTGGGTGTGAGTTGATACTTTATGATATAGTTATTAGTATGTTTTTAAAGTCTGTCAGTTGGATTGTGTGAATGTGCTGTATGAAAAAGAATCAAATTTGTGATATTCTTCTTGTTGAAAAGTTTTTAAGAATTTTGTTGTACAAAATAAATAATGATTTTGTGTGGAAATTCAATGTGCTGATTTGTTTGTTATATTTAAAAAAGATCCTTTAATAGGCCAACTAACCGTATTTACCCTATTTCTTTGGCATACACAAAACATATTTTAGTAATATTTCTCCTATTTAACGTTGCCAAAATATTGAATATAGGATTTATTTCCGACAATTTTACCTATCTTAATGTTTTGAGACATGTAACAGTAAACAAACAGCAAGTGAGCTTATGCCATGGTGCGGCGTCCGTCGTCCGTTGTCCGTCTGTCCGGCGTCAACTTTTTACTTTAAACAACTTCTTAACCAAAAGGCCTAGGATGATGATATTTGGCCAGTAGCATGCTGGAATCAAGGGCTACCAAGTTTGTTCAAATAAATGAGCGAGACCCATTTTCAAAGTCACTGGGGTCAGATGTCATAAATCTTTAAACGACTTCTTCTCAATAACCAAAAGGCCCAGGGTACTGATATTGGGCCTGTAGCATGCTGGGATGAAGGGCTACCACGTTTGTTCAAATGAATGACCTTGACTAACTTTCAATGTGACAGGGGTCAGATGTTGTAAAATCTTTTAACGACTTCTTCTCAATAACCAAAAGGCCCAGGATACTGATATTGGGCCTGTAGCATGCTGGGATGAAGGGCTACCATGTTTGTTCAAATGAATGACCTTGACTAGCTTTCAATGTGACAGGGGTCAAATGTCTTAAAATCTTCAAACAACTTCTTCTCAATAACCAAAACGCCCAGGGTACTGATATTGGACCTGTAGCATGCTGGGATGAAGGACTACCAAGTTTGTTCAAATGAATGACCTTGACCCACTTTCAACCTAATGTCCTTGTTTGACATTCAAGGTCACAGGCGTCATATGTTTAAATCTTTTAATAGGTTCTTATGGATCAAACACTGGTATTCTGCCTGTAGCTGTATTATAGTCCACTTTTAAGATTACAAGTGTGAGATTAATACCAGGTGAGCAATACAGGCCCATTTTACCTCTTGTTTTTAGTTCACATGGCACGAAGTGCCAAGTGAGCTTATGCTGTGGCGCGTCGTCCGTCCGTCCGTCCGTCCGTCTGTCCTAAACGACTTCTTCTTAATAACCGAAAGGCCTAGGGTGTCGATATTTGGCCAGAAGCAAACTGGGATGAAGGACTACAAAATAAATGACCTTCACCCATTTTCAAGGTCACAGGGGTCAAATATGTTAAAAACTTTAAACAACTTCTCCTCAATAACCAAAATGCTCATGGTGATGATATTTGGCCAGTAGCATGCAGAGATGAAGGGCTACTTAATTTGTTCAAATGAATGACCTTCACCTATGTTCAAGGTCACATGGGTCAAATATGTTCAAAATATTTAAACAATTTGTTCTGAATAACCAAAAGGCTCAGGATGTTGATATTTAGTCAGTAGCATGCTGGGATCAAGGACTACTATGTTTGATAAAGTGAATGACTTTGACTTATATTCAAGGTCACAGGAGTCAAATTTCTTTAAAATCTTTAAACGACCTCTTCTGAATAACCATGGGTTCCAGGATGTTGATATTTTGCAAATTGCATCCTGAAATGAAAGGCTATAAAATGTGTTCAACATAATGACTTTGTTCGACTTTCAATCACAGGGGTGGAATGTTTAAAAAAAAATGGGTCTTTTGAATGAATTTTAATCATCAATACTGATATTTTGCATGCAGCTTTATTTTAGATCACTTGTAAGGTTACAAGTGTGAGATTTATACCAGGTGAGCGATGCAGGCCCATTGGGCCTTTTGTTTAATGATTTGCCGTATCCCGTAAAATTTTAAGAGAAAATGTTCGGAACTGCAAAATTTAAAAACTTCATATCCCAAATTGATTGCGAAATCTTATCTTGCCGTTTGTACTGGATAATGTTGTAATATTTGGAAATATAACATTACTGTTAAAATTCGAGAAAATTTAAATGTTTTAGATTTGTTTGAACTATGTTACATACTACTCACATTTTGCAAAGGATCACCTATATTTTGAAAAAAAATCAAAATGCTAGAAAGGATATTATACTTTCCTTCCGTACTGTTTTGAGCGAAAATGTTAGCCTTCCAAATCGTCCTGTGTGGGTGTGTTCAGTCAACCATTCTTATTGTTATTTAGGATGAGTTTTGTTCAATTCAAGTTTTTTACTGAATACCTCGTTGTTACCAATTTTAAGGGTAACCCTTTTCTTGTGGCTCATTTCCCGACTGTAATTACGATTTTTGGATTTTTTTGCATGTTGATGAATTAAAAGAAAAATCAATTTTGCAAAAATTATCTCAGTATAACTTATTTTCACATATACTCAAAAATAAAAGTGATCCTTAGCAAAATGTGAGTAGTATATATGTATGATTGCTGGATTGGGTTCTCGTCCCGTCTGTAGACAGTTTATCTAGTTTATTTAAAAGTTACAGACAAGGTTTGATGACATTTCACACACACAAAATCCATCACATAACATTTGTGCATTTGTGACTACTGTTTCCCTTTCCATCAAAATAACATACACCCTTAATTTACTTCACCCGACAGATCATTGTGAAGTCTGTTTCTACAAAAGACATATTTCAATAAACTTGTTACCTGGTAAACCTGTTGTTATTGTAAACAATTTCAAAGAGGTATGGCAATTGTACTTGTAAAATACAGTTTTGTCCAGACACCTAAGATCATGTCTGATGTTAATATTATTTGGCACACACCCTTCCCATAATATGTACATGTTATTTGTAATTGTTTTGTTCTTTAGGTCCAATTCCAATGGTGGGCTGTTCACATAGCGTTTTCGTTCGTGGTCAAGCGTCCCGACTATCGGTAAACATTTGTTTGTTAACATTATTTATTAGAAACTATTAAAGGAATTATAATGAAACTTGGTGTACAGGAATCCATTTGTCCGGCCGTAGTTGATCATGCTCCAACTTGAGATGGATCGAAAAAAACAAAATGGCACCCAGGCAGCCGTTTCGGATTAAGCACTTGAAGTTTGTTACTGCTATTTCTCAAAACATATACGTAGTGGGTTTTAGTGAATCTCAGTATGCAAATTATTCCAGTGTTCAATAGTTGTGCTTGCGTCGATTTGAGATGGATGAGAGAAAAACTGACCGCCAGGCAGACATCTTTGGTTTTGTTGGTTTACATTTTTGTTGTTTTTATTTATATCGCAAACTAGTGAAAGGATTAGAACAGACGCTTATATGCATATCACCTTTGTCTCTAGTTGTGCATGCTGCGATTTGAGATGGATTGGGAAAATAAAATTACCACAGAAAGCTATATTCGAATTTGCATTTTTAGCCTGTTACCGCTACTTCTCGTGAACTACTGAATGGATCATGAGTATTCGTGATCCTACAATTTACATAGCATGTCAGCTAACCACTCTTAGAATGATGGAGATCTTATTTCAATGTAAGAAAGTACATAACGACGGGCGTACATTGTCCCGACCCGTGGTACTCTTGTTTTTACTTCCTTTTTGAAACAATATTTCCCGTATGCCGTGTTCAAGCACTAAATTTCAATAGGGCAGATCAAGGTTGTTATGGTTTTAAGATATAGGACATACCATTAGCCTCTATATAACAGTTTCATTTAAAACAGCTATATTCTGTAATGAACTACAAAACACAGATTGACAAGATATCAATTTATTCATTTCATGTTAACGAAAACAAAGACATATTTTGGAAAAATACAATAATTTATCAAAGCACTACTAGCATATCTAAGACAAAATTTTATAATTGATATGTGTTTCCCTATCAAGGGGATACTCAAAGTACTCAATATAGTATTACGAACTCAACAAGGGAGAAAATATTTTGAAATTACGAAACACTGTTTCCGTTGACAATGCGATGCACTTTTAGCTTTAAAGTTCAAATACCATATCTAAATGATCAAAATTGAATACTTTTTAATAATTTAATAATTAAATAATTTATTTAACGAGTATCAGAGTTATTACAGAGTCGACTCGTATGATTGCCATGGCGATGTTTTCATGGGATAACAACCAAACCTTAAACTATCATAATGCATACTTGTCAACAGTTTTTCCAGACAGTGTTGGTCCTTTCGGAGAAACGCCTTTCAACACTGAAAACATAAAAGTTCGAAATATTCACTTATACTTGTGATAAAATCACGAAAACATAAAAAAAAAAAATATCCACAAGCACATAAACAAGAACTATTTGAAATTATCCAAACAACAAATAACAACATGGACTAAAGTCAATAAACACTTAACCTTTACCTATTAATAAAATGTACAATATAACCTTTCCCGGAATATACTGTGCACACGGCAGCATTCACTTTGCACATTAACTAGCAGTCCCACATTTAATGAAAAATGCCAAAAATATATATATATACGAAAGAAGGTAACTTGACAAAATAATCAGGCTGTAAATTTTAACAAAGATGAATTAAACTATTTTATAGGATAGACTATAACTTATCTGAATTTTCATCATCTGGAACAAAAAATAGCAAAGCATCCAAGTGCTTAATGCGTATAACAATTTCTGTTCAGGATTTTCTATAGACGTCGGAAAAGACGTCAGTCGACTCTAAAAAAGTATTTGACTAACCTCATTGAATGCCTGATTAATCTTGTAGCTAGGATTTACACAAATAAACAGTTGTTTTACCATAATGTTTAACCAAAGAAGGAGTTTATAGAATATTCACTTTACGGAGTGTACACGACTGCCATACACCTATGAACATTTCTTTGTTCAAAGTTTCTTACTGTCTGTGGCTGATAGTAAATCCCCTAGGTAGAGGATTTAATAGCTCATCTGCTAAAGAGTTTGCGAAGATCTATGGTACCAATGAACACATGATAATCATCGTGCTTAGCAAGTCTAAATGATTTACCAGACATGGAAGGTACCAATGAACACTTATGAGCTGCATGAACAGTGCAATACTGACACGAAAACGATTGATCGGAAATTAGAAAAAATAAAGTGCCACCCACCCCCATCACTGTGTAGGTATAATTCACCAAAAGTCTTTCCCGTCTTTACATGTTTGAATGTTTCTTTGAAATGAAATGCTATACTATTGAAATAAGACGCCTTTTTGCGTTTACACATTTTAAGATGCATGCTTTACTTTTAACATTACATGATAAAAGATCCTTTGAACTATGATACTTATTATGTTTTCAATCCAAAATGAAATTTTATTACAGATACTTTTACAGTAATGAAATTTCTCACTATCAATTCCAAAAATGACAAAATCTTATTAATTAGTTTTACGGTTCCAACCTCGCTAAACAAACTGATAGCATATGAGTCAGCATCGTCTCATCAATTTATCGTTCGTCTACGTCGACAAATGTATAATAGCTGACTACAACATCTTTGAACATTGTCTGGAAACATACACATACACACACGAAAGACACAAAGATATCTGACGGCCAGTCTGTTCTTTTCATCAGCTTTGAATTCGTGGGCGTGGGACGTTTCCTTGTCTGTTGAAGCACTAACATAACAGTCTGCGAGATTAACGTATATACTATGTCTGTCCATTTACAATCGGCTCAGTAATATGACCTATTTTTTCACCAGGAATACGCTCACGTGCATTTATTGACGTTACGTATGATGTCAAAGTGGCACGGTAAATCATTCAATATCTATTTTCTCCAGAAATAGACAAGAAACACATCAATGGCGGCTCGCCGTTTCTCAAACTGTTTTCGTTTTTTATTTGTTTCCTACTTTTTGAAAGAAAGACAGTTTGCAACATCACATATTTTCATTTTTTTTTTTTTAATTTATAGAATATTCTGTTTCCGGAAGTTGAAATGCAAAAACGTTACATTTTTTACCAATCGCCGAGAAGAGATCTCTTTTGAATGCGGGATTTATGTGTGTCGGAATAACCTCGATCAAGCTCTAACCCTTCAGTATGGTACTTCTCTTATTTACGGTAGGATGTTGGCTGAGATCATTGCTGTTATCCGCCTTGTGCAGTTCGTCATTGGTAGTTTCTGCCTCGAAGTCTGTTATCTCGGGATCGCGCTTACCAAGTTTGAATGAATTACTAGACGTAAATGGGCGTTTTTCAAAGTTGTAATTGGATGCTAATAGACGTTTTGTAATTTCCTCTATGGTGTCCAAGCCTGTATTACCGCCTTCTGATAGAGATTCTCCTGCAGATGTATGCATTTGGTTATCACGCTTTCCAAACTTATATCCGCCTCCTAAAACAAATGGTCGTTTCCCGAATTTATACCCGCCACCTAACACAAAGGGACGTTTTTCGACTTCTTTGGCCATGTCAGCGCGTTTGCCAAATTTGTATCCGCCTCCTAGCACAAATGGACGTTTTCCAAATTTGTACCCCCCACTCAACACAAACGGTCTTTTTTCAATTTCTGTTTCCGGATCTGCTCGTTTACCAAATTGATAGCCACTTCCAAGTACAAATGGACGTTTTCCAAATTTGTAGCCGCTTCCAAACACAAATGGTCGTTTTTCCACTATGTCACCTTCATTATCTAGACCACGTTTGCCGAAATTGTAACCACCTCGCATAACAAATGGACGTTTCCCAATGTTATAACCACTTCCAAGAACAAATGGCCGCTTTTCAATTTCTTCATCGTCTTCAAACTCGCCCATGCCACGCTTTCCAAATTTATATCCGCTTCCAAAGACAAATGGACGTTTCCCAAATTTGTATCTTCCTCCTAAAACAAACGGCCTTTTCTCTATTTCATTGCCTTCATCATTCTTCATGTCACGTTTTGCAAAAATATGTCCCTCGCGCATAGCAAAGAACCGTTTACCAAAATCGTAGCCACTTCCTAGAATAAATGGTCGTTTTTGTACATCGTCATCCCCAACTTCTCTTTTACCAAATTTGTATCCACTACCAAATGCAAATGGTCCTTTGCCAAATTTATACCCTCCTCCTAAGACGAATAATCTTTTGATCGTGTTAATTTGTTCCCCGTCGTCAATGTTGCGTTTTCCAAACTTATAACCACCTCCTAATATGAAAGGCCGTTTACCGATCTTGTAACCTCCACCTAGAACAAGCGGTCGCTTTTGTACACGGTCCTCATCGTTGTCACGTTTTCCGAAATTATAGCCACCGCTTAAGACAAATGGTCGCTTCAGTAGCGTTTCTCCAGGTTCACCGGAATCCCTTTTTCCAAAGTTGTAACCGCCCCTCATCACAAATGGCCGTTTATTTACTGTAGCTTTGTTATCGTCAGTATCGTCGTCGTCGTCTCTTTTCCCAAAGTATCCACCACTTCCAAAAACAAATGGTCTCTTCCCAAGCTGATGTCTCCCTCCTCTAAACACAAAGTATCTCTTGTTAGTCGCCATTTTATTGCCACGGTCGTTGAAGTTATATAAGGGTTCACCATCGTCTAAAATATACTCGTCTTGTTGTCCGTTTTGTTTGCCAAGTCCATATCCTCCGTATACATTTGGACGCCTACCAAATGTGTAACCTTTTCCTCCAATCACAACCGGTTGTTCCATATCGTCAACCGGAAATTGAGCATAATAGCGGGGTGCATAGGTAAGGCCTTCATCTTTTTCTGGACGTTCTTTGAAACTGTATGGTCCGTCGTCTACAACTCCGTCTGAACTTCCTGGTTCTTCGACACCCTGGTCCAGTATATGTTCTCTGTTATCTTCGTAATATATTGAAGCTGCAAAAACAATCATATAGAGAAAATGAAACTTTTGATCGCAGAACGAATTGAAGTAAAATATGATATAATAATGAAATACAAACTTACATCAAACTAACTAACATGTACCTTTACTAATACTTGATCATTTTTTAAAAAAAAATGTTAATCTGTTTTAGAGATATGAACTGAATTGAAGTGTAGTATTTATAAAAAAAGTCCCAAGGATCATTTAAATGTCTTAAACTTAAGGCTCAACAAGCTCCCTTAAAGATGATATGGTCACTATAACCAATGATGAGTTACAAAACGAATTAAAAAACCCACTTAAGCATTGGAATTCATAAATGCAATTTTGATGTACTGAGCTTCAACTTTAATTATTTAAACAAATGTCACTTCGTAACCAAATGGGTTGCGAAAGAGATTCCCATGTTATAATGCCGATGATCTATTTTTTGAAGAAATTAATTGCAATGCCTTATCATAGACTCAGTATTCCGTCTTTGCGTATTGCAGAGTTATCTTCTCTAGGGAGCAGGTATTGATTGTTACGTCATTGGTTTGGGTGAGAAAATTACGTCGTTTTCACAAAAATTGATGACGTTCCTCTCTTAAATAAGTGACGTAACAATCAATACCTGTTCTCAAGAGAAGATAACTCTGCAATATGCAAAGACGGAATATGCCGTTATGTACCATTTAAATAAGTATAAGTACAAGTTTAATATATCCCAGTTAGATATATGCAAGTTAAATATCTTCTATTAAATATTTAACCAGGTCTTTAAATATGACTTTAGGGACAGTTGAAATAAGGGGTTACTTATTACTTGTTGTTGAATCTTAACTAAAACATTCAGATGTCGAAAAATAACTATTTCCCTTGGTATTTCTCCTCAGTACACATGTAGCTCAGCAATTCAGATTTACAATACATTTATGTGCTTCTATGCAAAATTACATTGTGATTTGGACTTGAAAAATCTTAAACATTCATTTTGACTTTAGTTTAAATCTTTTATGAATTCTGTGCTAGAACTGTAACATTAGCACAAATGTGTCTTTCTATTGTATATGCTTCTATAGAAACCGTATTGGACTTTTAAATGAATAGATTAAAATGGTACACATATTTCTTTATCTGGAAAAAGAGAGAGAGAGAGAGAGAGAAAGATAACGACATCGTGTGTAACTAGGTGTAGCAGATCAGCTTTGTATTTTTAATGTCCACCAGTAAACAGTTTATGAAGAGGGCAACCAACTTCGCCGGGAGCACTAAATTAAATCACCTCATATGATATCATGTAACATGACAGAGAAGGTCAATTATCCTCCGCTCATATTATGCAGTGGCTATCTAGGTTGTTGGCAATACCGCTAATAAATATTGATTGAGCGAATAAATCACTTCATGAAAGAAAAATAGTATGAATGTCAGCTGAAAACATTTGCCCTATAATTTTATTAGCCTTTATCAATATAATAAAACACAAACACCATTGTGTTAGTCAGAAATAAACTTTCCATTGATACATATACATACATGTCTACAACGGGTGTTTGTCTGCATACATGTGAGGGGTTTTGTTTGTCCGGATTGAAAACATATATATTTTCAAAAATATTGTTTCCTATATAGAAATTATTAGGATCGAAGTGCTATAAAAGCCAGTTAAACGTCTGTCTGCTTCGGCTAATATGTTCAGATCTTTAGATAAAAATCATAATGTCGATATTTTTGTTCATACAAATGCTATTATCATTTCACATGTGTGCTCTTTTTCAATGATCATCCTTCTTTTTATTGTCAAACATTGCTTGACATTCCTTTCTCAATTCAATTGTAGCCAGCAAAATATGTATGACATTTCATATTTCTTCACGTAATGTGTTTATAGTCATCATTCTTGTACCAATCTCATATTTTTTAAATGCAGATAACGTAAGCCACTAGTCCAACGAATACACCTACATATCTCAATTTATATACAATGACATAGTTCTCCATCATTAAAAGCCGTCAACCCTTTGTTCTTTAGATTACACAAAAATATAACAGAGCACGATGAGGCGCAGCAACAATATCGTGTCCTGTGTTTATATATATACACTGTTCTTTCAACGTGAGAATGTCTTTTGGCCAATTTACTAGCCCAGCGTTTAATGCATAACAAGGGAAACCTACATTTGATATTATGGAAGACCTGTCAATTACGTCTTGGGAAATAAACACAAACTAGAACTGTCGAAAATAAAGATGTCTGGTGGCCATCTTATTTTGCTAATCAAAATGAAATGTGCACAACGACCAACCACGGGAAACCTAAAGATGAAGTTTGAGAAAGAGCCCTGAACTAATGTCTGAGAAATAGTGACAACAATCTTATCTCCTATTTGATGATCAGCTGTCGGCCATCTTGGTTTCACAATCAGTCCGAAGATTAAATATACTCAACTATGGGAAACCTTCACGTGAAATTTTCTGAGAAAAGAGCTAAACCACTTTAACTTTTGAAATTTAAGATGTCTGTCTGCTGGCCATCTTAGAATGGAATAATAAGTCTACAGGGGTTTCATTATATCATTCCAAGTGGGTTTTTTATTCATTCCCCTAACTGAGTTTTTACTCCTGGGTGTAAACGAAAGACTGCGAATTCTAGCATTTGAAAGTATTCCTGTGCGATTTCATGTCATGTGCAGTTGGGATAGATTTTGAAGCGAATGAATAAACAATGAAATTTCATTGCTCTCAGTATATGCGATTGTTCTTTTGTTAGATATTCCGCTTTTAATACATTACAAGAAATGTCAAAATGTGAAAAAAAACTGAAAATAAATGGAAATAATGTCTTAATAGCCGTATGTTGAATATATGTTACGATCCGTTAAAATACGTTTTAGAACAACATAGTCCTTATATGCATGTATATTAAAACTCATTTTAGGAATGTAGCATAAAGATGTATGCCCATTTGCATTAAACAACCTGTAATCAAAGCAACAGATGATTAATCGTTTTCAACACTTATTCAAAACAAAATGTGAATTGTTGTTCTGAAATCAAATCCAATGTTATGTCCAATTATATTCATAGTAATTGCTATTGATTTAAAGCTCAGTGTTAAGTCTAGCACGCAATACAAACTGATATAAATATGAAATGGATAGCCTTATTTGAAATCTGTTAAGGCCATGTTACATGATTCATAGACGGTCTGTAGTGGCTTCAACTCATATTATATTCCTATATAAAGTGGAGATTAGTTGTGTCTGATCCTACATCAAGTGTAATTGAAGACATCGCTATTTGGAAAAACGGACTTATTATAAAAGGGTAACGTTCGTATAAACAATGTACAACCGCGTCAACACGCGGGGACAAAATTGGTATGGAAAGATCACACAGGAACTGATGAATCAAAAAGAGTACAAACGGTATTTACTGCTTAGTGTTATGTGGTATGAGTGTGATGTGTATTATTAATGACTGATATATACAACTAATGACTAATTTCGTATATCCTGATCATAGTTGGTATATATTCATGAAAAAATAGTAAAACGTGAAAGTATACATCCCAAAATGACAAAATATTTATCACCTAGTAATATTGACGAAATTTAATACTTAATTTGTTTTTTCAATATGGCCGTCTATAAACTCATTCATTATCAAGTAGAATTGTGTACAGTTTTCCGACAAAATGAGTCGATTTACCATATTGCTACATTACATAGCAGTTCATCAGCCCAAAACCAACTAATTACCATTGTTTTTTAAAACTCAGGTGTTAAGCACTCTCATGTTCACTGCACTCCTGGAATATGTCATGATGTAATCGATGGTTATGTAATCATTACCTTGTGAATGCTTCCAAAAGACAAGTTTGATACTTTGTTTTGTACATCAACAGAATCGCGCGGCACCATAACGTTAAAATTGACTTGCTTTGACGTCGGATGTCGCTCTTTGAAATCTTAAAACGGCTAGGTATAAGCATAGCGATTAGTGAGGTGTTTTTTTTTACATAAAACCAGTCAAACAACTAACCGTGTGCTATCGATGTTTCCATGCCATGTTCCAGGAGTGCAGAGAACGTAAGTCAGCGTAACCAATGGAATTTCGATGATGTTTCGTATACGTACAAGGACAACATCGGGTCTCGATTAACCCTTTCAACCCTAGGTAACTTTAATAGACTCTACCTTGTATTTATTTGGATGAGTCCAGTATGGTCTACAGTGGTGTAAGGGTTAAAGGCAACAAGAAATGACAGCAACAGCACCAAAGGTGACACCAAAAAGTCACTATAAACTGACATAAAGAAAAGACAAATTGAGCATTGTATTCTGGAGAGATACCACACACAATGTCTGTTTCATGCAGGAAAGTACATCAGCAACCGATACTTTGGCTGAGTTTTTCGTTCAACCAGTCCATTTTCGGAGTCTTTCTCACTTCCAGTTAGTCAGTTATCACATGATGACGTCACAATACTACTTTCTATTGAAACACGCCTCATACTTCTATAATGAATTCTAGAGCGATGTTATTCACTGTCGATATTACGTTAAGGTAAACTGTCATCGATAATCGCACTTGCCGATGCTAATGAATACATATTGGAGTCCCGTCAAGTTATGAGATTCATGTTGTGAAAAACATCAATATATATTGTTCATATCTCATAACCAGAGTCATATACATAAACATAGCCATTAATTATAGATTCGGTTGTGCTAATTCTATTTCCTGAAGAGACTCATTCCCACGTCATAAGAATGATTAATTCTATTGTTAGCAAGGGTAGGTTTCCACAGAATTCATCTGAAAGAGATGTCTTTCGCTGTGTTATGGTCCAGGAAATGATAAAATATACTTATAATATGAAGTCTATGATAATTAACAACTATATAGTTTGAATGTTCGTGGCAGACCATATAATACGAAGGGACGCCAAAAAAGAGAAGAATAACTGGCCCCGTCCTTAATTATAAGGTCGAACCGAATAATA